AGGTAGAAAGAGAATTCCTATCCTGGTTTACTCCCCACATGCCCTGGGGCTGTGCCAGGCTCAACACAGTCGGGAGCCAGGAACACAATCCAGGTCTCCCACATGGGTGGCAGGGACACAGGCACCTTAGCCACTAGGCCAAATGTTTGTCCCTACTTTCTTTTTGATCCTAAATTCTCTTTTATTATAGCCAGGTAGTTTTTATTTTGAATTTTTTTGTCTTGAAACATAGCTATCTATTTATAAATGTCATCCCCTAGCCCAACACCTCCTTCTGTCCAATCAGCTTCAGGGAACAGTGCCAGAAGGTTAGTGGTTAGTGGTCTTGTCAGATTTTTGCATCCCCGGAAATAAAATGCCTGTTAAAATGTGTGACCTGTTGTCCAGCTTTCATACTTTGCACTTTATGTTTTGTGGGCTTAGCAGCCCCTGGATCATGCCTGCTGGGTGGTGGCATGAACTGCCTGTATCCAGTGGCCTGGTCATCGAGTCCCACTCACCCCCACCCCCATATGTCTTTTTTTGTGTCAAGGAGATTATAATAGGTTGAGAGTTCTTGTTTTGAATGTGTGCATACTATTAGGTGAAAGGGAATGGCTTCTATTTATTATCTATTTCTCTGGCAGTTAAATTTACTGAACAAAGCACATGGGAAACTGGAGTCAAATTGCCATTGTACGTACCCACACGACTCCACCTCCCTGCTGCTGGGGCATTTAGAAGCTGTGCCCAGGGAGGAGAGCAGAAAGACATCTTTGTCTTCCAGGCATCTTAGGTCCAGCAGGTGAGAGAAGCCCTGTAAATTAGACTGGCTCAATTCAGACTAACAATAGAAAAGCAACCAGAGGCTTGTTAGCATGTGTGTCGCACTCTCACATAGGAGTATTCAGGAATGAGCAGCCCAGAGAGGTGGCTGGAACTCAGGCTTCTGGACCCTGCTAGGCTAAAGGAAGGAAAGAGGGTTTGGAGTTACTGGGTTGGGGGGAAGGCAAATTATGGTAAAGTGACCAAGAAAAGTGGTAAAAAGGATTGTTCATTGTGCAGATTTAAATTGTTGCCTTCCTCATTGATTGGAGTGGTTCAGAGCCGCCTTCTTGCAGGTGCTGGAGAGAGAGGCTTCTCTACAAAGGGAAATATCCTTTCCAAAAGGAAAACTTTTGCCTTGTTTTCAGTGCTTTTACTGAGTCTGCTGACTCTCAGTGGTTCTTAGCTCTAAATAATCCATATGCCAAGGAGGCATATTTTTAGGGTAGCATATTCTGGTACCCTCCCAGAGGGTACAGATGGACACTGTACAGTGGATGCTGATGACAGTGTATCAGTCTATCCTTTTTCTCTCAAAGCACTATTTGGTTTTATGTTTTGCTGTTTGGAAGGCCAGAAACTAGGGGCAGGTGTTTGGTGCAGTGGTTGGAACACCAGACCTAAACCCCAGCAGCATTTTTATGATGAAAATTTTTGGAAGAAGGTGGAAGCTTCACGCTGAACCTACATTGGCTGTAAGTGAGAGGGGTTCATATGCCTAAGTAGGCAGTGACGTGCCTGGGGCTCAACTACAGGGATCTCAACTCAAGGCTATGGCACACACCCAGGAAAGTGGAACAGTCTTTTTTGGGTTTGGGCCAGTAGCTGTTAACTGCTTAACTAACTAACCTATCTCTTCTGCTCTCCAACCTTTGTAATTAAATTTAGCATCTCAGAAATTTCTTTTAGCCACCATAAAGTCACTAATATTGATTTTTAGTCACTGAGCACTTTATATACTTTTTTAAAGATTAATTTTATTTATTTGAAAGCCAGAGTGACAGGGGATGAGAGGCATAGAGAGATCTTGCATCACTGGTTTACTCCCTAAAAGGCTACAACAGCTGGGGCGAGCTCAGGATGAAGTCAGGAATCAGGAACTCCATCTGGGTCTCCCACTTGGGTGGTAGGGACCCAAGTACTTGGGCCATCCTCCTCTGCTTTCCCAGGCACATCAGTAAGGTGTCGGATCAGAAGGGGATTCGGTTGCTGTTGCCGCAGGCAGCAGCCTGACCCACAGCTCCATGATGCTAGCCCCTTTATATGAATTAAATAATTGCAGCTGCTCTTGAATAATGAAATATCTGAGATGGTTCTGTTGCCAAACAACCCCCTAAACATTGTTATAGAACCCCCAAACCTGGGTCTGCCCGCCCGATGCGCAGAAAGCCTGTCACTGGCATCGGGGTGGTGGAAGAAAGTGGGTATTTATTGCAAAGGATAGACCAAGGAGCCCGGCAGCTATTGCTTAATTCCCAGGCTCCCTGAGGAGTTGGGAGTGAAGGTTCTTATAGATTGAAATTGGCACTGGAATCCAGGTTCCTATTTGGTTAGTGATGCTTCTTATCTTCCTTTGATTGGCTGGCAATAGCATGCTATTCCAGGAATTTATGATGGGTAGGTGGACTTCAGTTGGTTGGGGAGGTTACATGTAAGTGGTAATTACCTTCTGCCCCAGACCTGGAATTCCCCTGCCTGGGCCTGGAATTCTTGTAAACAAACCCCTCCAGTCAGCACTGGCCAATAACGTTTTATCTATTGGAGTCTGTGAGTTCAGTAATTAGAACCTTGTAGGATCAGCTGTCCGAATCTCTCTGTGCAGTGAATTCCTTTTGATAAGGGACAAGGCCACCTTGGGCTGAGGGACACAGACGAGAGGCCGGGTCCTGCATTTACATTATAGAGGTTCAGTCTCAGTTCAAAGAATTGTTTCCAACCAGAAACTTTATTTCAATAGTTGTAAAATGTGAAAAAAGAAAACCTATATTCTCTATTAAAACAGAAAGCTGTTTTTAACTTATATTGAACCTCTGCGTGCCTCTGTCTCACGTATGTCACATGCAGTTTTTTCAAGGTTGTGCACCCACCACCACATTTAAAACATTCTCATCACACCCAAAGGGAACTCTGGTGCAGAAGTCATTCCCCACTGTCCCTCCCATGTCCCTGGGCAGTCACTGCCTCTCGCTCTGTCGATTTGCCTGTTCTGGGTATTTTGTATAAATGGAGCCATACAAGATGTGTCAGTGTGAGTTTCCTGGTGCTCCCGTGACAAAGTACCATAAACGGAGTGGTTTAAGACAATTTATTTTCTCATGATTGTTGAGGCCAGGAGTCCAAAATCCAGAAACCAGCAGAGTTGGTTTCTTCTGGGCACTCAGGGTGAGACATTTATTTGACACCTCTCCCCCAGCTCCTGGTGGTCGCAGCAGTCCTTGGTGTCCTAGGGGTTAGAGATGTGCAATTCCAGTCTCTGCCTCTGCCTTTGCATGACCTTCCAACAGGGTCAGCAGTCATTGCATTTGGGCCCCTCCTTATACGGTACAACGTCATCTTAACTAATTACACCCGCTAGTCACTCTGAGCTTCTGTGGGCCTGAACTTGGGGGAGACACCGTTCAACCAAAGAGAGTGTTCTTTTGTGTTTGGCTTCTTTCTCTTAGTATCATTTGTCAGGGTTCATTCACGTGATAGAATGCATTAGAACTTCATTCCTTTTTATGGCCAAATAATATTCCATGCTGGGAATATGTATCCCTTCATCATTTGATAGGCATTTGGGTCGTTTCTGCATTTAGTTTTTCATGAATAATACTGCATTGGAAAATTCGTGTACAATTATGTGGACAGACGCCTTCATTTCTCCTGGGTTAGACTTGTTTTAAATCTGTCAAATACAGTGTACATATTCATACTACTTTGTGGGGATAGCTGTTAGTTGGTAAAATTCTGGCTTATTTTCTGCCTCTTGAATTTGATTTGTATTTCAGTGATTTTTCAGTGTGTTTCCTTTGTAGGGAATATATTTTTCTTTCCTTCCAACTTATTTGATGGAAATCTACTGTTAACATTCAAAAGAATGCCATCTAGCCTTTCACCTGTTGTCTGTGCCCCTTTTTGTTATATAAATAAGCAGTAATATTTCATGCTTTAAACCACTCACCAAGCACTTTGTCCTTGTAACACTGCTCTCCATCCTGTGAAACCAGCAGGGGCTGCTGGTTTCTGACTGGTAGATTCCAGATTCAAGGAAGGCAAAAGATCGATTGGTATTAAACTGTGACACAGAGGATGTCCTTCACTCCTTGGTGGCACAACTCTATTGTTTTTACATTGTCTCCAGGGGGCAGAAAACATGTCTCAGCCACCAAAGAATACTTGTTACCCTGAGCCAGGGATTCTCAAAACCACCCAAAGGACCTGTTAAGGCATAAATCGCTGGGTCCCACTGTAAGTTTCTCATTCAGTAGGTCTGGAAAGGAGCCTAAGAACTTGCATTTCTAACACGTGCCCAAGCAAGAAAGCTGCTGCTGGCCCCGGGGCCTAGACAACTAAGTGTATGAGTCACGTGGGAGTCATTCATCCAGGGCTCCTCAAAATGTAGTGTGCACATGAGTCACCCGGGATGCCTTTGACTGCTCCGAGTCAGTAGGCCTGGGGCTCGCGACAGATTCTAACCAGCTCCCTGGTGATGCGGAAGGGTTGAACGAGTAGCCATGTGCTGCCCTCTGCTTGGGTGGTTCTATATTTTTGCACAACTCTAGTAACTACATTGAAATAAACTTGCCAGCTTCAAGCAGATGAACAGGGCATACCTCCCAATGTGTAACAGAGTGGGACTCTGCAAGTTACAAGTTATTCTGGGAAACAGAGCAGAATGGTCCAAATCTTTTAGCCATAATATTTGGAGTAAATTAAAATAAATCTAGTGTGGTCTTTCAAATGTGTTTCACAGGTCCTGTGATTAAAGACAGTAGATTCTTACAAGGATTCTAAATTTGTTCTTTTAAACTCATGGAGTTCTTTTTTGTTTCTCTTTTTCACAGTTTCTTGGCACATTAGTGGAAACTTGATTGTATCAATGTTAGAGCCTTATTATTTTACATATTTAATTCTTGTCACCTAGAAGGATTATTGCTTTATGAAAACAAAATAAGCATTCTATAAAAGTAATTTTTCACTTTCTCTCTTGGCAGATCACTTACAACCTTGGGGCTGGTCATATCCTCCCTGGCTGACCAGGCAGCTGGCAAGGGTAAAAACAAATTTGTGCCTTATCGAGATTCAGTCCTCACTTGGCTTCTTAAGGTAATTCATTGCTCTAGTGTCTTCCAGCTGAACATTGGCAGTTGCAGATGTATGTGCTGAAAGATGTGTGCAAGCCTAATACAAGAACTGTCCTCACATCCTAATTCCTAGGAACACGAGATGAGGACTGTCTTGTTGCTTTTTACTCCACTGTGATGTTGTTCAACAGGTGTTCATTGTGGTGAATGTGGAGAGGCTGCATTACATCTTGTCATAAGTATCTGTGAAATACAGACCCACTTCCACATCAGGCTTTCTTCACTGAGAACGTCACGCACACGTGTGTGTTGCTTTTGTTGTTTGTGTTGGGCACGGGATGGTCTTCCTGAGGTGCTCTTTGAAATGCTTTGCAGGACAATTTGGGAGGCAACAGCCAGACCTCTATGATAGCCACCATCAGCCCAGCAGCAGACAACTATGAAGAGACCCTCTCCACGTTACGATACGCAGATCGGGCCAAAAGGATCGTGAACCATGCAGTTGTGAATGAGGACCCCAACGCAAAGGTCATCCGAGAGCTGCGGGAGGAAGTGGAGAAGCTGAAGGAGCAGCTGTCCCAGGCTGAGGTCAGTCGACCTGGTGCTCCGTTGTTCTGGAAGCCCGTGATTCGCGTGTCTCACAGGAAAGGGTGTGCCGGCTTGCAGTGTTAGGTCGTCTGAGTGTGAGTCAACATTCCACTGTGTGTTGGCTGTGCCGTAGGCTAAGCATTGTGGAGACCGATGTGAGTAACACGAGACTTCTGTCCTAGCAACTTAGAGTCTAGAAAGCAAATGACTCTTTGTTTTAGTAACTCAGTTGGCCCTTGAACTTCCAAGTGTGTGTTTTCATTGGCATTGTAGGCCTTGCAGTTTGCAGGGAAGTTACTTGTGTGTCCTCTCCTTATGCAGTCATAGAGCTAGCATGACCAAGGATAGCTAAATATAAAGAATAATTCAGAAATCTCCTTTTACGTTTTTACTTGTATCGTCTCCTGGTGGGAAACAAAATCAACATTTCTCCATCGTTACCATCTTTTCAAACCTTTATGACCACATACTCTTACAGACAAGTGGTGCTTTCGGGGTAGGTGAGGGAGCTGAAATGGAGGCCACTTGCCTTTGCTAAAGTCACACGCTTCCATAGGCCAGGACTTGTGTGGCCCCGACACGTCTGAGCTCTCATTTCTCCATGCTTCTCTCTTCTAACCCCACTTGAGCTGGGAGGGTATTGAACTATGAAAAATAAAAGTACTAACCATCATGTATTAAGCCAGGTACTGTTTAAATAGTTTCTATCCATCAGCATATTTAATCAAATATAATCAATAGATCAAACAGAAAAGAGGCAAATTCAGGGATCTGAATAGTCTACTAAATGGTATAAACACTGTAACTGCTTATTCAGATATCTCTTCTTGTAGACTTTGGGCTCAAAGTGCAGAACATGGTGTTTTTAAAATTTTTTTAAGCCCTAATATTGGTCCAACACTGAAAGTAGAAAGCACTTAGCACAAAGGCCTTGCACAAAGTACATGCTCAAGAAATGTCATTAGTTCGACATAATTAGAGAATCTGCATTTAGCTCATCAACTCTGACTTCTTTTGATTGATATAAAAAAGGATAACAAAACACCAAACAAATGCTGATAAACTCTTTGACAAGACTCATGATTCTAGGATCAAAATAAAGTGGTTCTGCAGTCGGTTTGTAGGTAGATAATCAGCCTACTTCCTCCTGTCTCTGAATTTGCATTTCCACTGTGACCATCTCAGGCCAGGTGCTGGAACAATACCTGGCCACAGGAAAGAGCAAAGGACCCATGTAGATACATCGTGAATTTTCTCATGTGTCCTCCTGTGCCCCATACTATGTGTTGCTGTCAGGTCTGTTAATACTGTGAGACAGGTTCGCTCATCTAGCTTCCAGCTTTCAGATCATCACCCCTTCAGCTGCTTCCCCATTCTCTGCCATCTTTCTTATTTATCGGTTTTACTCTGAAGGGGTTCATGTCACCACTATAGAATCTCAGAGCACATTGTTCCCAAGTAAAGGCTTCCCCCAAATTGTTAAATTGCAAATATTTGTGTTTAGACCCATTAGTCATTCTGAACAAACCCAGAGAACTATTGCTCTTTTAACCAGATATCCTGCTTCTGAGTGAATACTAAGTATGCTAAATGTGTTACCTTTGGTGGGAGAAAAGTAGTTTAAGGGCCCAGAGCAAATTTTAAAATAAATGAGAAGAATCTTCACCTTTGCTAATAGGTTAATATGACCCTAATGTGTGGTGGTGATTGTATGTGTGAAAAATCCATCTGCTTAATAACCTTTTTTCCTACCCTGATATTTCAATGATGAACTAGCTTCTTCCAGGTCTTTGCATGTGAGCTGTGTGACAGATGGAGTGCTAGGATCTGGTCTCTTAAACAGGAGCAGCCATGTCTCTTACATTTCATCTGATTAATAAAGGTCTGAAACCCACCCCAACAGTGTTTGAGTTAATTGCTCCCCACCAAACACTTGATACCTGCTGAAGATGGACAGGAGGTGATTGTCCTGTGTGTGTATACACACACACACACACACACACACAATGTTGGGGAAATTCTGCAAGTCCGATGTCTCTGGTTTTTTTTTTTTTTTTTTAAGGCCATGAAGGCCCCCGAACTGAAGGAGAAGCTTGAGGAGTCTGAGAAACTGATAAAAGAGCTGACGGTGACCTGGGAAGAGAAGCTGAGGAAAACAGAAGAGATCGCACAGGTAGCTTGATGGTTTAGGCCTAGAATGTTGTGATTCTTTTACATTTGCTGTCCTTTCTGTGTAGCCACCTGTCTTTGTGAAGAAGTCTTTAAAAGGCCTCACTGTGCTGAGCTGGAGACTACAGGGAACAGTTTTAGGCACAGACTCTGTGTCTTCTCTCAGCTTACAGTCTGGGCCATGTGTTAACTAGGAGTGCTGGAGAGCACTGCATGTGACAGGCATGGTACGTGAAGCGTCCTGCTCTTCACATTTTGATGAAAGTTTATCCTGTGATATTTTTCTACAGTTGCATCTATTTTTGCTTTTACAGTTTTTAAAAGATTTATTTGTTTATTTATTTGAAAGGCAGTTACAGAGGGAGAGAGAGAGATCTGCCATCATCTGATTCACTCCCCAGATGCAGTCACTGCAACCAGCAGGACTTGGCCGGGCTGAAGCCAGGAGCCTGGAACATCATCCAGGCCTTCCACATGGGTGCAGGGGCCCAAGCACTTGGGCCATCGTCCACTGCTTTCTCAGGTGCATTTTGAGCTGGATCAAAACTAGAGCATCCACGACTCAAACTGGCACTCAACTGAGATGCCATTGTCATAGGTGGTGACTTACCCCACTGTGTTACAATACTGGCCCCTGTTCTGTGATTTTTCTAGATCATCTGTCAATCTGTGAGGCTAGCGGATTGTTGGTAATTTATAACATGCAGCATGCCATAGACTTTTTGATGTGTTTGAGTCTTGGGTTTATTGGAAAATGCTGTATGAGTTTTACTTGAACCATGAAGCAAGGACTAAGTCTGGTGGGGTGGGTATGTTAGGACTCTCTGCACGTCGCATTTTGTGAACATTTTATTCTCACTGACCACTTGGAAGTACTGGACCATCCCCGTCTGGCAGCTTGAAGTGGTCACTAGAAACCAGTGTAGCCTTCTGCTTATACAAGGTAACTTCAAAAAGTTCATGGAAACTAGCATTTAAAAATGTTTGTTTTGGTGCAAAAATTTTTTGAAGTTCATGCATAGTAGTTCCACAAAACACATTTTCCATAACCATTTTGAAAACTTGTGTGTTTTCAAATTTTTTGCATCAAAATAAACTTACTTTTTATTTCCATTTTTCCACAAACTTTGAAGTATCCTCGTATGTTTTTTTTTTAAATGTCACTCACACACGTACCCAACTCCGTATCTCTCTCACATTGCTTATGTTTTTCCACAACACTTAACACCATTGAAAATTCAATATGTTGGAGACAACGCTGTGGCATAGTGGGTAAAGCTGCCGCCTGCAGTGCCGGCATCTCATATGGGTGCTGGTTCTAGTCCTGGCTGCTGCTCTTCTGATCCAGCTCCCTGCTGTGGCCTGGGAAAGCAGTAGAAGATAGCCCAAGTGCTTGGGCCCCTGTACCCGCTTGGGAGACCCGGAAGAAGCTCCTGGCTCCTGGCTTCAGATCGGCACAGTTGCGGCCGTTGCAGCCAACTGGGGGGTGAACCAATGGATGGAAGACCTCTCTCTCTCTCTCTCTCTCTCTGCCTCTTCTTCTCTCTCTGTGTAACTCTTTCAAATAAATAAATAATCTATTTTTAAAAAAAGGAAAATTCAATATGTTAATATCTTGTCTTTTTAAGGTCTGTCTCCTCCTGCTAGAATTTCAGTTTTCATAAAAAGAAGGACTTCATTATGTTCTCCAATGTATTCTCAGCCCTAAGTCAGTACCCACCACATTATACTCTAATAAAATATCCCTTGAGTAAAAGGATGACAAAGGCAGTTGACATTTGGCATAGCCATTTGAACACTTAGATCGAACTCTGAGTGCCCAGGTTTGAGTCCCAGCTGCAGCCTCCTGCCAGTACAAACCCTAGGAGGTATCAGTGAAGATCCAAGTGACTAGGTTCCTACCATCCATGTTGCAGAGCTGGATTGAGTTCCTGGCTTCTCACTCAGCCTGGCCCAGCCCCAGCCATTGTAGGCATTTGGAGAATGAACAACAAATGGGAATGTTCTTTTCTTTCTTTCTCTCCCTCTTGCTCTACCTCTCCTTCTCCATCTGCCTGTCTCTCTCCCCCTACTCAGATTTTAAAAAGAAAGAGACAGAATGAATAAATGAATGAATTCGAGGCCTTCTGCAGTCTGTTCCTCCAGCTTCCCTCTCTCACTGCTTTCCCAAATTTGCTAGAGATTCTTGGCTCCTAAAATCAGCCACTATACTGAGAATCCGTACTGTGTCCCCCGTGTCTGTTCCCAGGACACACTGTCCTTGTCTTGCCACTCCCCCCACCACCCCGTTTTTTTCCTGTTGAAATTCTTCATGCTTCAGGAACCATCTCAAATGTGTTCTTTTCCTGAAACTTCCCCTGGCTTAACCCATCTCGGTCCCCTTCCTTTGGAGCCCTGCAGCACTGTGTAGCCCTCCAATGCCACCATGCGCTCTTCTTTTGGGTTCTAGTTATGTGATTTTTGTCCCCTATACTAAACTGTTTGCTCCTTAAGGGCCACAGGGGGTCTGCGTCAGCCTTAGTTCCCCTATGTCACTGTCACGAGGTGTCAAACATTGTAGGCCCTCTGTAAAGTTGGTTGAGCTGAGTAAAATGTGTCATTCCATTGGCACTGTCCCCAGAAACAGTGACTTACTCTTTCCATGGATACATCTTATGAATAGAGCAACAAATACAGTCTCCTGCTCTTGTCTGTTTTTGTGCCCAGGAGAGACAACGCCAGCTTGAGAGCATGGGGATTTCCCTGGAGACATCTGGTATCAAGGTGGGGGATGACAAGTGCTACCTGGTCAACCTGAATGCAGACCCTGCTCTTAATGAGCTTCTGGTTTATTATCTAAAGGTAAGGGAGCACATGAGTAGATGCCTGCAGTCCTGATTCATATACAAGTCCCAATGGAACCCAGCTGTTTATCTCCATGATTTTGGTTGTAGTATCCAGCCCAACTCTCTCTGCAGTCAGATCACCACTGAGAATGAAACACAACTGTTTTGTTTCATCCTGGAGCGGTGCATTCGGGGCTGATTTCCTGCAAGAGTTTCACAGGGGCAAGAGTGGGCAATTAAGAGTATCTAGGTAATTCCTGGTGAAGGCACCAGGTTTGAGGCCACAGGAGTCTGAGAATTTCTGAGTTCAGCCACAAAGACCCTGAGAAGCCCTAGATGTTCTCAGTTTTGCTTCTGAGTAATTCCAAGACAATCTCAAGATGAGTAGGAGCCCACGGCAGACCCGTGAGCAACATGTGACAAGTCTCTCCCAGGCTATCCCTTCTAAACCCACCCCTCAGGAAAGAACTTCTGGTCTGACAGGGACCCTTCAAGTGTGGAGGTGGGACTGTGGCCTCCTGGAGTAGGCACTTTGGCCTCAGGGTGTGTCACTGACTGTTGGAGAGAATATTGCAGTGATTCTGAAATTTTCTGGCTTCAGGACCGTGTATACTCTTAACAGATGCTAAGGACTCCAGAGAACTTTTGTGTTCTGAGTTATATCTACCTGTGTTTACTGTATTAGAACTTAAGACCAAGAACATTTTATGCTACAAACATAAGCAAGCATTCAACCATTGGTCTCCAGAGCTACGCCATCAACCTGTATTGCAGAGCCTCTAGAAAGCTTCACTGTATATATGTGACAGAGAATAAAGACATAACATCAAGTAATTTTATCAAATTGCTTTAACCTCACAAACCTCCCCCTCCCAAAAAAAGGTCCTCAGAAACCATAGGCATCTCAGACCACACTTTTTGAACTGCTGGCTTAATTTTTTTTAAGTGAGAAAGAAGACCTCTGTTGAAAAGAGGGCACCTGATTGACGTTGAGACCTGGGACTTGAAGGTAGCTTGCATGCACTGCCCACACACCCGAATAGCAGAGTGCAGAGGGATTAGCCACTTAGGAAAGGTTCGGTGCCATGTTTGGGATTCTGATCTGCCCAGTGAATTATAAAATGCAATGGAGAATAAGCAGGAATGGAAGCAAAGAGCCTCACTCTTCTATGATCCTTTGCTTCTACTATTTTTAGAGACATGAACGTGGTGCAAATAGCCTCTGACTTACTGAGAATCCACTAATAGACTTCTGGTCTGTTCTTTTAGGGAATGACTAAGGGGTAAAGAAATGTTTCCAGAATGTTAATTTTGTTAGATCAAGCCTTATACTTCCTCTGTTGCATAGATAAGGGTCAATAGCATAGTGGTTAAATGATATTTAAAGAAGCAGGAAAAATTTGCTGTATGAATACACAGGGGATGAACAGTGACGAAATTTCCTGTAGTCCCAATGCTCATACGTCTGAGGTTCCAGGTATTTAAAATCACACTGATCCATACATCAAACAACCCACAACCTTCAATGCTCTGTGTAATATTTGTATTGGAAGCTCAGCTATTTTTTTTTAACATTTTTAAAGTTACATATTTTCATATGAGACTTTCATGAAACCATTTGCAGCAGTTCTTAAATTTATACAGTCATTTTCAAAATACTTTCACTGTTAACTCAGATGATCAAAAAAAAACCTGTCGAGTGGGCCAAATAACCAGTATTGTGCTGGTTCACAGAGAGTGAGCCAACATGCATGTGGTCACGTAAGTTGACCAAGTCAAAATCAGAACTCCTGGTATTCTACTCTCAAGTCTGATTTCCTTATGTTGTAAAGCAACATTTAATCACTGTTGATCAGGGTATTTTTTTTTCATAATGTTTAAACATTTTTTAAAAATTTCATGTGTTATGGTAAGCTTTTGACCTTGAATACTTGAGATTCCGAGAATCTCCCACCTGATTCATTTAATATTTTTGTGAGTATGCTGCTGGGTTATTCAGATTGATTGTGATAAATTGCTGTTGAGTAACTTACACACGTGGATGTTTCTTTGTTTCCTAACCTCTTTCCAGGACCACACCAGGGTGGGTGCAGATACCTCTCAGGACATCCAGCTGTTTGGTATAGGGATTCAGCCTGAACACTGCGAGATTGATATTGCCTCTGATGGTGATGTCACTCTTACCCCAAAAGAAAATGCAAGGTAAGAACAAGAAACAGCTAGCGTGTCTCCTTTTCAGAATGAAAAGGCTGCCTCTGTCTGCTTGCTAGCTTCCGTCACACAAAGTTGAGGACGCACTGGGTCCCCCAGGGTAGTGACTTTCTGATGGTTGTGGAGAGCAGCATTTAGAGAGCAGCAGCTCTGCTGTCTGTAAAGTCTCAGTCGCCGGAGTTGCAGTGCCCCTGCAAAGGAGCAGTTTCATATGGGAGTCCTAGTGCCCCGTATTCCATAGCTCTTAGCTTTATAGTTCCATAATGGTCAGCCCAGCTAATAAGATTATGTGGGAAACGTAACTTATTGAAAAATTAAAAGAGTAATATAATTTTTCTCTACCAAACTTCACCTCGGGGCCAGCGCTGTGGCACAGTGGGTTAAAGGCCCCAGCCCTTAAATGTCCATATGGGATGCTGGCGCTGATTTGAGTCCTGGCTGCTCCACTTCTGATCCAGCTCACTGCTAATGTGCCTGGGAAAGCGTCGGAAGATGGCCCAAGTCCTTGGGCCTCTGCACCCACATGAGAGACCCTGAAGAAGCTCCTGGCTCCTGGCTCCTGGCTTTGGATCAGCTCAGCTCCAGCCATTGCAGCCATCTGGGGAGTGACCCAGCAGATGAAAGAACTCTCTCTCTCTCTCTGTCTCTACATCTCTGTAACTCTGTCTTTCAAATAAATAAAAATAAATCTTTAAAAAAAAACTTCACCTCACAGTTCTTTAGCAAATTAGACTTTAATTATTCTCCTCCAATTACTCATTTTTAAATGCTAGCAAAACCTCTTTAAGTGGAGGAAGTTATGAGAAGACTAATATTGTCTACAAAAACTATGGAGGGCTTTTTATCCACCCTAAGAAAAAAAAAAATAAAGGCCCTACTACTATGCTTTATGTCAAAAGATTTGTTGATTAGTTTTTTTAGATTTATTTATTTATTTGAAAGGCAGAGTTACAGAGAGGAAGAGGGAGAGACAGAGAGAGAGAGAGAGAGAGAGAGAGATCTCCCATCTGCTGGTTCACTCCCCAAACAGCCACAATGGGTGCAGGATCGTAAGGACTTGGGCCATCTTCCACTGCTTTCCCAGACGCATTAGCAGGGGGCTGGGTTGGAAGTGGAGCAGCCAAAGCTGCAACGTGAGCCGGTGCCCATATGGGATGCGGGCACCTCAGGCAGCAGCTTTACCTGCTACACCACAGCTCCATCCCCAATGAGCTCTTTTAATAAGCAGGAGACCCAACAGACTCTTTTGCAGTGTGCAAGTTCAGCCTACTGACTGCACTGTGTTGACAGCCAGCAAGTGCAGTTGGTAAATGCTGCTCTGTCGAAAGACCACCGGTCAGTGTCCACTGGGTGGAGTTGCTGCTTCTCTGAGACCTGTTTCGTCTTCTTCTAAGAGGCATAGGCCCATACACGCCCAGAGACACAGTGCACGCCCGGGACTGTGTGATCATACGGTCCAGCAAAGGCTGGTGCTGTGGCCTCCCCAGTCCCCGTTGTTTCTTTGTTTATACAGTTTGTCTGATAACAAACAGGACTTTCAGGATTTAAACCTCCTATTTGTTTCTTGTTTGTCTCCAACTTTTCATAATGGAAAATTTGAAGCATAAAGGTGGAGAGAGTAGTATAACAGTCTCCCATGTATCCATATGCGGCTTCAAAAAATGAGTACCTCATATATAATTTTGCTGTATTAATATGCCTTCCACATCTCCTTGTCTATCCCCTCTGGATTATTTTAAAGCAAATTCCAAATATTATAACATTGCTTTCATAAATATCTCAGCATGTATGTCTTAAAAGATGAAGGTCCTTAAACACAGCTTCAATACATCCAAATAATTAACAATAATCCCTTACTAATCATCATGTATACAGTGCATGTGTACATTTCTCTAATGATCTTGTAAATGATCTCAGTTATTTCTTCTAATCAGGATCCAAATAAGATACAGGCATTGTTGTTTTTTAAATTTCTCTTAGATCCCTGTTGACCTGTAGGTTTCCCCTTCCCCTCCTGTCTCAGGCTGTCTCCTCTGTCTGTTTCTCTCTGTATGTGTTTTATTTATTGAAGACACCTCTCTAGCTGTTGGCACTGGAGTCTCTCATGGCCAGGATTTCATTGCTACGTCTCACGGCTTTGTTTAACACCTTCTCCTGTCCTCTGTTTTTCCTAATCTGTAACTTCCAAATGGGAGCTGGATCAGCCTCATCCCAAATTTTGACAGAGTGTCCCTGAGGTAGAGTTTCCTTTCATGTCAGGCTGTCACCCTTTGGGTGTTTCAGTGGTGGTCACAGATCTGTCACTTCTCCAGCTATCAATTAGGACACTCTGTCAAGAGGAAGCTGCCCCACGTCTCTCTCGGGCGGCCAGGCCTGAGTTCTGTGCCCTCCTGCCCACCTGACATTGTCTCTCCCATGCCTCCAGGTCCTGTGTGAATGGTACCCTTGTGTGCAGTTCCACCCAGCTGTGGCACGGCGACAGAATACTGTGGGGAAATAACCACTTTTTTAGGTAACAGCTTTGTGTTCTCTACTATTTTCATATTCATTTTTTTTCTGTCATCTTTGAAAGTGTAAACCCAGTTGACTCTCTCCCATGGTGAAAAACCCCACAGAATTAACTTACCCAAGAGGAAACGGCGAGATTGGCTGAAAGACTTTGAAAGAGAAACGGGCCCTGCAGAGCACGACCTGGATGCAGCCAGCGAGGCTTCCTCGGAACCAGACTACAACTATGAGTTTGCCCAGATGGAAGTTATCATGAAGACGCTGAACAGCAATGGTGAGACCCTAACTCTGCCTTCCAGTGTCCTGGGCACTTCCTCCCATCTCACACCATTCAGTGTGAGCGATCAGGGAAATCGAAAGTGTCGTTCTGAAATTTAAACACAAAATTGCTCAGTTCCTGAAACAGGCCATCACGAGGGCTCATGGAAAGGTCTGGGAGCGGGTTTCTCCCAGAAAGCAGGTGAGCCCTTGATGAGACACCTTGACCCCACGCCAGTTGTGACAGCATTTTCAGGGGCAATCCCAGAGCTCTGAGTGATCCCGACAGAATTCCTGATCAAATTTCCCATCATTGAGCAAGTCATTTCTGATTCCTTCAGAGTGTCAACATCCCCAAGAAAATCCGAACCTCGGAATTTCACATATAACCTGAGGGAGAGAGAAAAGTCGCAACACCTTACTATAAACTCATTTGAAAATTATACCCCAAAAAGACTTACTTAACAAGCCCAGGTAACTTTTTACCAAAGTGATAGTTAAAATGGAAGGCTTCGTGGACTCATTCTCCACCCCAGTCTACAAAGGTCTCTGCAGAAGGGATTCTCCTCTATGCGTTTTTTTCCTGGATCCCTGCTTTCAGAAGACCCTCAGTACTTACTTTAAAGTTCTGTGTCTAAACGTCTGTGTCCATTTGCCTTCTTTGTCCCTTCCCCTGTGTTTACGCATTCAGGAAAATGCACATCAGATTCTTTTCGTTGCTTGCCCCGAATGTTTTACAAATCTGTCTTTTCCTTTTCTTGTCTCCCAATCTCCTAATTCCCAGAGTTGGTTCCCAGGACCTAGTAGCTACCCAGGGAAGTTCCTGTTAACAAGTACAAGTCAGGATTTCTGAGACTAGAACTACTTTACAAGGATAGCATTGAGGCTACATTTAGGGACAGGCCCAGTGCAACCCCTCTTCCCCATTGATCTGGTCTGTGGGTCCTAAGAAACCCTAACTTGGACTAGGAAAGACCTGACATACCTCTGGACCTCAGGGTCCCCATCAGACAGCTTGTAACTGGGCACTTGCAGAACCTTTTGCTTTTTACAGTTGAGTTCTATTCTTAGGCATTGGCTTCCTTACTGTGCTCTCTGACTAAGCCTAAATGGGAAAAATTTGAGCATGGCTAGAGAATTGCCAGTAAGCTCCCTGGCATATCACATTGGGAGATTCTATTACAGGCATAAAGATTTTGGTGTTTAATTGATGTCTGTTTATGGATTTTTAGCCTCAGGGGCTCTTTTTTTATTATAAAAATGAGGTATAAAGTAAAGATCAGAGTATGAGAAACAAATGTAATGTATATAAAGAGTATCAAACCAGAAAGGGAGAAGGTATGTTAAATGATGAAGTTCGGTAATTTCTGTCTTTCAGCATTAAGATCAGGGTACTAAGATTAGCTTCAGGGCCCTGAACACCACAGTACTGGGTGGATCATAGCTGGAAACCAAGCCTGTCACTGTCACTTGCCCACCCATGGGGAGGAAGCCCCAGAGACATTCTAGAGTGATGTTCAGACCCCAGAAAGCACATTAATAGGATTGAGCAATGTGCCTGGGCAGCATGTCTCTGGAGAGTGATTTTTGGAAGCCTGACTAAATACTTGGGGTGCAGAGTGTGACAGGGTGCACATGCACCAAGCTCAGGATGGAGAAATGCCCATCTGGAGAGAGCGCATTGCTTCAGATGCGGTCACAGAGTTCTAGCTGACTCTGTTCTCCAACTCTGCAGTCTCATAACTGACATATACCCCAGGTCCCAGATTTTATGCAGTTGCACCTTTTGATCACATCTATATTAAACCCCTTAATAACCAGTGAGTATTTAGCAAGCGTTTGTTAACCCCTCTCCCCTTCACCAAACCTACTAGAGTCTCAGAGGCCCAGCTTATGGTACAAACATGAGTTATTCATGTGTATCCCAGCTCAGGCCTTGCCTTCCAGTGTTGACTGGAAAGTATTGTTGGGCAGGCATTTGGCCTAGCAGTTAAGACTTCTGCATCCCACATCAGAGTGCCTATGTTCTGTTCCTGGCTCCAAATCCTGATTCTAGCTTCCTGCCAATTCATAGCCCTGGAGGCAGCAGGTGACAGGTCTAGTAACTGGGTTCCTGACACATTTGTGGGACTCTTGATTAAGTTCCCTGCTGCTGCTTCAGCCCCCACCTTGGCTGTTACAGGCATTTGAGGTGTGAACCAGCAAATGGAGAGCCCACTCTGTGTCTAAAATAACAATTTTTTAAAGACTTATTTCTTTATTTGAAAGAGTCCGAAGAGTGGGAGAGACAGAGACAGATCGTCCGTCCACTGGTTCACTCCCCAGGTGACTGCAATAGCCAGGGCTGGGCCAGCCCAAAGCAAGCAGCCAGGACCTTCTTCCAGGTCTCCTGCATGGGTGTGTGGGCCCCAGGCACTTGGACCATCCTCCACTGCTTTTCCCAGGCCAGTAACAGGGAGCTGGATTAGAAGTGGAGCAGCCAGGACCCAAACCAGCACCCAGATGGTATGCTGGCATTGCAGGCAGTGGCTTTACCTGCTATGCCACAGTGTTGCCCCAACAATTTTTTTAAAGTAACATTTTCTGTCTTCCCCACCACATACCAGTTCCCAAGGGGTATACCAATGAGTTCTGATGGGATTTCAGGAGATCCAGCCACTAGCCAGTGTTCACAGGGTTCGCCTCTGCTACTAGGTGCCTTCCCGATAATAAGCCTCTCTGCCTGGTGGTCGTCCCCTTGGTGGTCCTATCTGAAGATTCTCTTCCCTCTCCTGTGGTTGCAGACGAAGCTCCTCCACAAACGCTGGGATAAAGGTTTCGCTGACTGGCATTAGCATGTGGGAGCTGGATTGGTTTCTAGCAGCGCTGCTGATCAATGCTTGTGCTACATGCTTTGGTAAAATCTAACTAATGCGATTGGGAAGAAGCTGACGTTTTCTTGACTGAGCAATGGGCCTTTTCAGCTATGACCCCCACCCTCATGTCCCAACTCCATTACCTTTTCATTGGTTAAAATCTGATAGCTTTTTTTTCTCCCTGTGTAGCCACAGCACTAAAACAGATTACTGGTATTACAGCTTCCGTGGCAATGGCTTTACTACCATGGACAGCACTGCAGTTCAAGGCAGTAGTACCTCCAGCTATATATTCACCAACATTATCCCGTTAATCCACTAGAATAATGTATTCTTACATCTCTAGAATAAATAATTTATTTAAAGCCCAATTCACTTGAAATACAAGTAAAAGGAAACCTAGTACGTTGGGCAATAAAGCCCTCTTCCCATGGGTTCAAAATAAGAATCAGGCACCCATGTGTTATTGCAGAGGCAGTGGCAGCTCGAAGCCACGAGCAGTGAAGGAGCTGGCAAGGGGTCATGGAGCCAATGCATTCCAGCTGAGACTAAAAGCATCTCTATTCCCCTAAGGACACACTTTCCTTCAACTCTGCGTTTAGACATCCTGGCGTGAATTAATTCTAATTCTCCTGCTCACGTGAACACATTGCTGCCAGTACCACGGCCATCAGCATCCCCTCTTTCCCATTCTGGGGACAGTAGAACAGTGGGAGCTTATTTCCTAGTTTCCCACCAGGGTAAAGGTGACAATAAACCGATGGTGAAGAGAAAGTCCTTTCCCAAGGTCGATGCTCCTTTCCTCCTAAAATGCTTATCTCTTTTGTACCTTGGCCTTAGGCAGTGGGCTCACTAAATTTTAAAACAATTCATTCAAGAGGAAGGACACAGAGAGGGAAAAAAAACAAAACTGCACCGTCTCCTACTGGTTGATTGGTTGTGAACAGGACAGTCTTTGGCTTCTGTTCTAGACCACATCATAGACTGAGTGACTTGCTGGTTAGAATTATCTGCTTTAAAACGTTTTATGCACTGGTAAAGGCTTGAAACCGGTTGATTTGAGGGGGGAAAATTGTCCATGAAAAAGGTACTTCCAGACTAGGGTTGGGATCAGAGGTGAAACAAAGACCCAGGTTAGGGTGAGTCCTGTGTAAGTGGACCTGGGAGCACCTGGGGCAGAGCCTACAAAGCTGTGCGTGTGAGGCTCGGGATGGGCCCTAGGGAGTCGCTTTTGCTTCTATTCATGCACATGGAGTTGTGGCCCACTTGAAGCCCAGGAGAGGTATTTTGGCCCAGCCATTCGAGATCGCATATTTCTGCTCTGTTGATGAACAAGTAGAAGTACGGATAGATATTCCATTCAGTTTCTTTCAGCAAAAAACCTACAGTGCAATTTTATGAAACTGTATGTTTCCCAGTTTGCTTGGAAGAGATTCATAAGCACAAAGTTAGGACAGTTAGAATCCCTGAAAGTAAGGCTTTATATAAATACAAATGGGTGGTAAGCACCCTGTCATTTGTTTCTTAAATCTAGCACCTACATCCTGCCTGAGAAATATATTTTTTTAAACTTTGTGAGGCCATTATCTAGCCTTCAGATTTAAAATTTCTTCAGACTACCTCAAATTTCAATGTATTTCTCCTATTTTCTCTGGAAGTTGTAAGACTATCAGAAGTTCTAGTGCTTTCCAGTACATAAGGATGGTTCTGTATTTAGCTTGCCATTACTTTTAGTTTTAAAGATTTATTTATTCTATTTGAAAGTCAGAGTTACACAGAGAGAGAAGGAGAGGCAGAGAGAGAGAGTCTTTCATCTGCTGGTTTACTCTCCAATTGGCTGCAATGGCCAGAGCTGCTCTGATCCGAAACCAGGAACGTGGGTGCAGAGGTCCAAGCACTTGGGCCATCTTCTGCTGCTTCCCCAGGCCATAGCAGAGAGCTGGATCAGAAGTGGAACAGCCAGGTCTCGAACTGGCACCCATGTGGGATGCTGGCACTGTAGGCGGCAGCTTTACCTGCTATGCCACAGTGTCAGCCCCACCATTACTTTAACTAAAATACCCAAGAGGAGCTTCTGAGGAAAGAAGAAGGTTTCTCTTACCTCACACTTTTGGAGGCTCACAATCCAAGCTGGGCACCCACATTAGCCTGATGAAGCTGGGATGTGTACAGAAGGCGGATCACGCGGAAGCAGACGCAAAGGGAGCTTACTCATCCTCTCTAACCACGTGTCTCTCTTTATCAAGCCACCATGATTCAACCATGGACTCCACCTCAGTAACCTGATGCAGTCCCAGCACTTCCCAAAGACCCCGCCTTCAGACCCCACAACTGGGTCACGTCTCTCCACCCTTCATCCATCCTTAGTGTCAATCCATTGACCCTTAAACAGGAGACTTTGGGGTTGAGACGTCAGCTTGAGTTCAGGTAGCCAAATCCTGTTCAAATCATGGCAGTTGTTCTGTGGAAAGCGTTTTACACACCTAGGATCTGCCTTTGTGTAAGGCGTTTAGGTCTGTTATTCACTTTCCATTAGTTTTTAGTCTATTTTTCCATTAATGATATATCTTGGGCACATTATGTCAGGGCTGTATGAAGAATATTCTGCCTCTTTGAAAAAATGTTGAATCTTAGCATTTCATAGCAGTAAGGAACAATATTTGACATTACTAGTTCTAAGGAAGACATTGGGTAAGAATCCTATGTCAGTTCTCCCCAAGTTAATGTCCTGCACCAGCCTATTAGCTGATTACTTATCTGAGTTCAAAACCTGTCTCCATTGTGTGTTAGCTGCGTCATCTTAGGACAGCCAGCTGAATTCCAATGTCCTTATCTTTAAAATCGGAATGAAATCCACCCCTAGGTCTGTTGCAAGGCTTTTGTGAGATGATGCATGCACAGGGCCCCCCCACACACACACCTGGGGTGTAGCCATTAGCTAATAGAGTTGCTGTTTCCATTGTGGTTGTCATTTTTTATTTTTTATTAATTAAATAACTCACCTATCCTGAGCATACTTTGTGATTCTTCTAAAAAAACTGCTTCTTTTTGTTTTGTATTATTTAGTCTTTTTTTAAGCTAACATATTATCTTTTTCTTTTACAGCTCCTATAGAAAAATAGTACAATTTACATTCTTATTTCACAAATTGATAGAGTATTTTGGAAACATCAGTCTGTAGCTATCATCAAGTAATACAAAACTTCCTCCTGAGTCACTGTAATTTCCAGCTTTTTTCCTGGAAATTAAATTGAAGCTAATCTGTAGCTACAAGTAGCAAGCAAGTGTGTAAGTATGCAAGGAGGAAATAATATCCCAAGCTAGTCTGAGAATGCATCTCCTCTGAGTCCCAGCAGCCTCTCAGAAGGATTGGCTGTGATGGTGACTTTCGCGTTCCACAGCTCCCTGTAGTCTACCTGCACAGGGACATCAGAAACTTTCTGCCCTGTGCATGAGGTCATGCCTTCCTCTCTGCATGGCATCCAGCTCATGAGTCATTCCTGGACTGTTATTCTGCCCAGCCAGTCAGCTTTTAGAGTCGGTCCCCCCCATACCACAGCCACCTCTGATTGTCCCAGCGTCTTTGCTGAACAAGGTCTACTAGGGTGTCTGCACTCATTCACCCAATGGCACATATCTGTTGCTTTTGCAAGTGTTAGATAAACTCAGTCCGTTTTTTTTTTTTTATAAGATTTCCTCCCACCTTAGAGAGATTTAAGGGTAATAAGATTTGTAGTGAAAACCATCAATCCTTCATCAGATACCAAACCCGATGATAAATAGGCATAGAAATCTACCATAAAAATGAGATTTTACATGGTTTTATCTGTGGAGTCGTCCTAGATTTCCTGAAGTTTGGCTTTTCCGTGGGTAGGATGACATAAACTTCTCCATCTTCTGCTGGTGGTAGATTGACGATCTATCTAAGTATTGGGGTGTGCTCAGTAACATAAGAGAACATCTGCGTGGAGGTCATTTTCTTAAAATGTTCAGAGGGAGGCAGCTGTGAGCAGGTGTCCTCCAGCGAGGCCGCCCGGCCTCTCCTGGAAGCCATGATTGCGGACTTGAGTCTGCCGCAGGTGCTGCCTCTCGCTTTACCACTCTGAAGACGCCTTGCCTTTGTCTCTTGGCTCACCAGACCCAGTTCAAAACGTGGTTCAGGTCCTGGAGAAGCAATACCTGGAAGAAAAGAGGAGTGCCCTGGAGGAACAGCGGCTCATGTACGAGCGGGAGCTGCAGCGCCTCCGCCAGCAGCTCTCCCCCGAAAGGCAGCCACCGAGCAGCGGCCCCGACCGCCTGGCCTACAGCAGCCAGACGGCCCAGCAGCAGGTTACGCAGTGGGCAGAGGAGAGGTAAGGACGCAGAGGTGAGGCGTCAGGGCCACGGGGCTCCAGGGAGGGGCTCACAAGGCCTATAGGAGGGAGACAGACTTCTTAGAAGTGGAAATACAGTCCCGTATCTGCTTTGCTGGCCACTGGCTTTTCCTTGAGAGGACATAAGCCTGTTTGCCACAGTGTTAGCTGTTGCAGGAATCTGACCACACCTCCCAGCCCCGCTCCAGCAATATTTCTTTAACGCGAAAGCATTTTTCCTTGTTTTTTTATTTCTTTGTTTTTATTTTGATATAACTTCAGTATTGACAAATCTACTCAATGTGAATTGTAAAATGTTTGTGTCAGAACTCTCAAGGGAGATGGTGGTGAGGAAGTGGTGATCATAGCAACAGGCACCACAATAAAGACTTCTGCCAATTTCTGTTATGTACTTAAAACTCCCCACAACTCTGCCATGGGAACTATCATCCCATCATGTACTCTGGGCCATGAGTTTAAGAATCCTGCCTGAATCACCCATTTAGTGAAAATGCCAGAGTTCAAATGCTGGTCTGTCTACAGTCCCACTAATCACCCCATGATATAATAACTATTTTATATTTTTTAAAGATTTACTTTTTTATTTAAAAGACAGAGTTACAAAGAGGCTGAAGCAGAGAGAGAGAGAAAGAGAGAGATTGTCCAACCACTGGTTCACTCCCCAAGTGACTGCAATGGCTGGAGCTGGGCCAGTCTGAGCCAGAAGCCAGGAGCTTCTTCTGGGTCTCCCAAGTGGATTCAGTGATCAAACACTTGGGTCATCCTCTACTGCTTTTCCAAGCATATTAGCAGGGAGCTGGACCTGAAGTGGAAGAGCTAGGACTTGAGCCGGCACCCATATGGGATACTGACACTGCAGGCCACAGTGCTGGCTCCTGTAATAACTATTAGCAATAGTAATAGTACCTAACATTTATGGGGCTTTTATCATGTGCCAGGCCCTCAAAGATTTGTCTACAGTCCTGGCTCCCTCACAGCTGCTGCTGCATTTTACCACATTTGCCCCTGTCTTACACAAAAGGAAACTGAGGCTGAGGGGTTGGATGCTTATGCAAGGACAGTTAGCTGGTGAGTGAATGCAATGGGATCAAAGCCATGGTGAGTCACTGGTCCATGTCTCTCACTACCAGTGAGATGAGCCTGACAAGGGGTTATGACCCTTAGAGGAAAAAGGTATGTCCTACCCTGCACTCACAGGCCTGCAGTTGTCTGCACTTGTTTGTGCTACATGAAGAGAGTCAGTTCTATGTTCCCCAGGAGCTACCTGTTCAGCTGTCTGGATACTGAAGCTTGAAAATTAACCCTAATTTTGCTACTCTTTATGTTTTACTGTGCCCAGTGAAACAAACCAAGGTTCTCAGGTGGTTCCTTTTCTGAAGATCCACATTTGCCACACTTCCTTTGAGCTAGTAGCTCCAGCTGTATGCTGAAGGTCGTTGGTATATTTTACCCACTGCACTAGAAAGGATCTAGTTACCAAAGAATATAAAAGACAAAAGTGAAAGTGGGTTGTTTTCAATTCAGTGAAATGTCTAAAAAATATTTTTCACTTCCTGTAGTTCTAGACTGATTATCTTTGAAGTTTAAATTATTCAGGAAGAATTGAGAAGAAGGTATTTGGGGCATGTCACTCAAAGAGACAAGTATGGTCACAACATTGATGTACCCAGATTTTCAACTGGCTGAAATTAAGATTCACTAATTATATGTGGTTCTGTAAGAAGCTGGGACTCAGTGTCAGTAAATGTCAATGAGTTCTGAAATGATGGAGGTCTAATACTGACATAAAGAGGGAAAAATTGAGAGTCAAAGTGTATTTAAGAGCTAGTGAGAATCACAAAGGAAGCACAGGTGTGGGTTATTCTCTCCATACAGTGGAAATGAGAGCGAGATAGAAATTAAATCATAATGGTAAATTATACTTTTATTCAACAATAAGAAGTGTTGTGATATGTTTATTTGTCATCTAACTCCTCCCCATGGAAAATAAGTTCCCCAGGGCAGGGACTCTGTTTGATTCACTGCAGTATCCCTTGTGGCTAGAACCATGTCCTCACAAATGCAGTATTCAGTCATTACTGTATGTATGTTTGGATTGGGTGAATTTGGTGACGTGGTAAGCAAGTGTGTCATTGCCAAGAAAGCAAAGTGCACAGTAAGTGCCAAGGTTGTTCAGAGTGGGACCTCAGTAGAATTGAGTCTTCCTACAGAATTGTTTTTGGAAGAGGAAGGATTTCAGATGAGCTTGAAAGGCGCCTTCTGACTAGGCAGTGAGAAGCTGGAGGGAACTGTGGATGGGCGATCAGCATGAACAGGTAGGAAGCAATGGAGAAGGGAAGACCATTGGAGGGCAGCAAGAGGACTGCTGTGTCAGCCCAGGAGGTGATTTCTATGGGAGTAGGGAGAATTAGTCCAAAACTACTAGATAGGCAGACTTGAATGGGATTTATCCCATGGGAGAGTGCCCCTGTGATGCTTTGTACCAAAGAGTGGCCTGGGGAAGGCGGGGCTCTTAAGACTGCGCATAAGCATGTCCTGTGTTGGAGGCAGAAGAGCCTGGGCACTGTGAGGGTATAAGGGATGTGAACCAGAGATGATGAAAAAGGAGAAAGGGAGGGAGTTAGGAGCTCATTCAAAGGAAAGAGACAACAAGGTTTGGGTGGAGCCAAGGAAAACTGTAGAAAAGAGAAAAGAGAAGACTGGATGAATCCAGTCTCAGGAGCTGGGAAGACCAATGCCCTTATCTTACATGCTCTCCATGTGCTGCCTGTGTTGTTTCTAAGGTGATGAGAAAGGAGTAGAGGCTTGGGAGCTGTGAGCTCATCATTTTCCTGTGACATCAGGGCTGGGAGTGCACACATGGTAGAATAATGGAATTACACCTTGAGGCACAGAGCTGTTGCAGGTCCAAGTGTGAAATCCACAGGTGTTTTTTCTTTCACATAGTCAGTATTTTTTTTCAGTACTCTACAATGAGCCATGCACTTGACCTAGAGCCAGGTACACTTGACAAGTAAAAAGAAAGTGGTCCCAGCAGGGGAGAGAGAGACATTGGTTCAATAGTAATACAAATAAATGCCAAGTCATAGCCATGACAAATGCTGTGGAGGCAGAGGACTTGGATAATAGGGCTTAGACCAAGTCAGGTGTTGGAGCTTTTTGTCAACAAATGCTATTGTGTGGAATTGAACAAAAAGAATTCCTGCTGCTGCAGAGGTGCCTTAGCGTGCATGACTCTTACCAACGGAGGAAATCACGTCATTCACTTTCCTCCCCTAACTCCAGGTCTCTGTCACCTGCCAATCCCATCACCCGCCATTCTGCAGCACACAAAGGCTGTAGTCATTACTTTTACCTGAAGGGTCTCTGTATTGTTTTTGTGCATCTTCTTGTCAAAATTTGGTCATTTTCCAATGCTGTGTATGTAAGACCTGGTTTCACAATTCACTCTCCAGTCGTGGTTCGCAGCAGGTAGCCAATTGTAGGCAAAGGGAAGGATCAGAGGTGACCTGGTAAAATAGGATGGAAAATATGGCCTAATGGGAGTTTTCTGCTGTTTTCTCTGAGACTGCTCATTTAGCAACAGGATTGCAGTTTTCTTTTAGATGTTCTTGTTCCTTTTCCACGCCACCCCAGGGACGAACTCTTCCGGCAGAGCCTGGCTAAACTGCGAGAGCAGCTGGTCAAAGCTAATACCTTAGTGAGGGAGGCGAATTTCTTAGCTGAGGAAATGAGCAAACTCACTGATTACCAAGTGACTCTTCAGATCCCTGCTGCAAACCTCAGTGCCAACAGAAAGGTAAGAGTGTCCTCAATGGTGTTGTGGCACAGCAGACTAAGCTGATGTCTGTGATGCCAGCATCCCAAGTCTGAGCACCCATTCAGCTCCTGGCTGCTCTGCTTCTGATCCAGCTGCCTGCTAAATTCTTGGGAAAGCAGCAGAAGATGGCCCAAATACTTGTGCCCCTGTCACCCACATGGGAGACCCAGATAGACTTGCAGGCTCCTGGCTTTGGCCTGGCCCAGCCCCAGCTCTGGCTGTTGCAGCCATTTGGGTAGAAAACCAGCAAATGGAAGATCTCTCTCTCTCTCTCTCCCTCTCTCTCTCTCTCTCTCTCTCCCTCCCTCTGTCTCTATCTCTCTCTCATCTCTCCCTCCCTTCAAATAAATAGATCATAAAAAAAGAAAGAAAAATGAGAGTGAGAGGTACAGTGGCACATACTGTAATGCATCCTGGAAGTGATCCCAATATGAACTATGAACTAGCACAGCTCTTTTTAAGACTTCCTTGGGTAATGCTATTTAAATGATGCCCTTAGATATATGACAGGCAGAATATACAGGCTCTTGGTAACTGAAAGACTTGCTAATTTCAATGCTTTAAAACAATGAAACAAAAAATATAGAAAGATACTTTAAAAAGTTGTGGAAAATGGAATTGAAAGGTAAATTTATTTGTATGTAATGCAATGTTGAAATCTATGCATAGTTTTTTATATTCATTTTCCATGAGCTGTTTGAAGACTCCCTTGTATATAAGTAGCCCTGCCTGCTTTGCCTTGCACATAAATGTCCCCTTCTGAAATGGGGAATATGTGTATGTTGTCAGAGTACCTTAATAGGAGTGAATTCCATAAGATCCAAAGATGTTTATGATTCCTGTGTTTACATACACAGAAGACTCTGAGGCCATTTGGAAGTTTCCTATCATTTCAACTTGGAGAATTTTTGCTATAGTGAGAAACTCCTAAGAAAATTTATTTTATCCATTCATTTTTCTTCCAACAAGCAAGAAAAAGGTGAATCAGGGAGCATCTTATCCATCAGTTGTCTTCTTTTTTTTATTCCACTTATTTTTAGGAGGAGACAGACATACAGAACAGCCCCTGTTTTCTGGTTCACTCCCACAAAAGTCTGAAACAGCCAGGGCTGGGCTGGGGCTAAAGCCAGTATCCAGGAATGCAGTCCAAGTCTCCCACATAGGTGGCAGAGACCCAATTACTTGAGTCATTGTTGCTGTCTCCCAGGACATACATTAACAGAAAGCTGCAGTCAGGAGCCAGAGCTGGGAGCTGAACCCAGGTATTACATCCAGTGTGGGACACAGGCATCTTAACCATTGTTAAGTACTGTGCCGCATCAGGATAAGCTGCCTCCAGCATCACCAGATCCCATGTCGGAACACTGGTTCTACTCCTGGCTTCTCTGCTGCTGATCCAGCTCCCTGCTAATGTGTCTGAGAAAGCTGTGGAAGATGGCCCAAGTACTTGGACCCCTGACAACCATGTGGGAGACCCAGCTGGAGTTCCTGGCTTCTAGCTTCAACCTGGCCCAGTCCTGACCATCACAGTCATTTGGGGAGTAAACTAATGGATAAAACCTCGCTCACTCACTCTCTGTCACTCTGCCTTTCAAATAAATAAAATAAATCTTAAAAAAAAATTTTATAGGCCAGCGCCGTGGCTCCTGGTTGGGGCACTGGTCCTGTCCCGGTTGCTCCTCTTCCAGTCCAGCTGTCTGCTGTGGCCCGGGAAGGTAGTGGAGGATGGCCCAAGTGTTTGGGCCCTGCACCCGCATGGGAGACCGGGAGGAAGCGCCTGGCTCCTGGCTTCAGATCAGTGCTGCACACCGGCCATAGTGGCCATTTAGGGGGTGAACCAACGGAGGGAAGACCTTTCTCTCTGTCTCTCTCTCTCACTGTCTAACTCTGCCTGTCAAAAAAAATTTTATAAACACTAGGCTAAATACCCACCCCTGGGTTTAATCTTTTTGTTTGTTTGTTTCATTTTATTTGAAAGGCAGACAGAGATAGATGAAAAGATCTTCCATCTACTGGTTCACTCCTCAAATGCTGACAAGCAGCCAGGGCTGGGCCAAGCTAAAATCAGGAGCCAGGAACTCCAGCTGGGTCTCCCACAAGGGCAACAGGCACTCAATATTTGAGCCATAATCAGCTGTCTCCCAGGGTGCACAGTAGCAGGAAACTGGATCAGAAGCAGAGAACTCTGATATAAGATACAGACATCCCAACTGACGAGCTAAGTACCATGCCAAATGCTGGCCTTGGGTTTAGTCTTTTGACCAAGTAGGTCCTCTTTGAGAAATTTACTCCCAGAGCAAAGTCCTAGAAATGAGCATAAAGATGCATGTCCTTTACCTACTGGGATACTTATTATACTAGCCTTTATTATCAGAAAAATTTGAAGCAACCATGATATTGAACAATAGAATAACTCATCAAACGTGTGGCAAATCTGTATGATGGATAGCTATATTGCCACTAAAAATAATGTTTATGAAGAATTTTTGAAGACTCCAAGAAATGATCAAAATATCGATATAAAAAAGATGATTGGGATAAGAACTTAGATTTTTGTTTGGTCCTCATTGTAACAAAAAGTGTGTGTGTGAATATACATGAGATAAAAAGTAAAGTAAATTATTCTCTAGGTGGTAGAATTTTATCTTCTTTGTATACATTTAGGTATTTTGCAGACTTACTACTTAAATATATTTATTGCTTTAACAGTCAAAAAAAGAGAATCCTAGGCATTTTTCTAACTACTTTCTAGCTTTGGTGCTGGTCGATGTAGCAACTTGTCCCAGAGCCAAACTGTTTTCTGGATATCATCTATAATAGCTCCATAAACCCTTTACAAAGAGGGAGGAGACGTGATGGCAGTGTTCACTGTGGCTGTTTTTCCTCGCTGTGCAGAGAGGTGCCATCGTGAGCGAGCCAGCCATCCAAGTGAGGAGGAAAGGAAAGAGCACCCAAATCTGGACCATCGAAAAGCTGGAGAATAAATTGATTGACATGCGAGACCTGTATCAAGAATGGAAGGAAAAAGTTCCTGAGGTAAAAAGGCAATATATAAACGGAGATCCAGTTATGTTAAAAGCAGAGAACACACACACACACACACACACACATTCACACCCATGGCTGTGAGGCTTCGGGCATTTACCTTAGGGAAATAAAGTGAAGGCAGTGTTGGAAGGCTTGCTAAGTTGGATGAGTAACACAACAAGCAATCCCCACACAGATGGAAACCAAGTGAAGAGAACGTGCAGCAGATTCTTACTTGGCTCCATCCTTACTCCATCTTAAGTAGAATGAAGTGAATGGGTGCTGCTTTGTCAATGTGAAAAATCGGCTTAGCTGATGCCAAGCATGGATTTTGTATTCATCAGCTTATGTTACCGTGCCCTAAGCTCTGATCGCAGCTGGTGCCTCACTGAGAGTAATCTTAGTGTGCGTAATCCATTTTTCAGATGTCAAGAACAGAAGTGAAAGTCAGCAGAGGAGATGAGGGGAAGCACGGGGAGCGAGGAGGGACAGCCTGCAGGCAGGACTTGACGGGATGACAGACAGGTGTCACTTAGTTCCCCACCACACAGGCCCCTCCCACGTGTGGATTTTGTTTTACTCATGTGACATGTGCCAAGTTTCTTGTGTGTTTGGATAAACGCTTCCTTAAAAATTGCTTTTGAATAATGCTAATGCTAAATAATCTGATTTAAATTAATGTTTTGTTTCCTACTGGCCTGTCCTTACCACTCAGGCAAAGAGACTCTACGGGAAACGAGGCGACCCTTTCTACGAAGCCCAGGAGAATCACAACCTAATCGGGGTGGCCAACGTGTTCCTCGAGTGCCTCTTCTGCGATGTGAAGCTTCAGTATGCAGTTCCTATCATCAGCCAGCAGGGGGAGGTGAGGACAGGCCGCTCCGGACAGTGACAACCCTCCAGGGGTGGGGGCTGTTTTTTTCCATTTGAGCTATTTCTTAAGGTAGATCTAGAAACTAGGGCAGCTGAATTTTCATTCGTTTTTCTCTACTAATCAGTGGTGTTAGTAGAAATTATCAGAATTAATTCATGGTCATAAAAGATTACTATAGCATGTTTTATGTTTGCCTTTCAAGTTTTTGTTGTTTTGATCAAACTGGAAATGCTTTGGAAACCAGATTTAGCTCTGTGTCCTGTGTTCATTTCTCTTTTTAAAGGTCATCTCAGACCTTTGTGATATATTCCTTACTTGCCCCAAAGTAGTTTCAAGATACAACTTGGAAGAATTACTTTGCAATCGAAATATTCAAAGAAAACAATTTAAATAACTCATTGTTACACACACACACACACACACACACATACACATTTCTTTTAAACTTACATTTCAGTTATGAGGTATATTGACCTATGGGTCTAAGACATTTCAGGAAATGTTCAAGTTCAAAACTTTTTTTTAATTTTACCCATTTTGTCAACCAATATTTATATTTTCAATGTAACAACATCCTTTCTTCAGTAACATACACACTTGAACTGTTTCCAATCCAGCTCCCTGCTAATGGGCTTGGGAAAAGCGAAGGAGGATGGCTCAAGTTTCTGGGGCCCCTACTCCCGTGTGGGAGACCTGGATGAAGCTCCTGCCTCCTGGCTTCAAGCTGGTGCAGTGCTGGCCTTTGCAGCCATCTGGGGAGTAAACGAATGGATGGAATATCTCTCTGTCTCTCCATCTCTCTCTGTAACTCTTATGAAATAAACAAACAAACAAATAAACAAATGGTTTCTTCATAGCTGCATGACTTTGTTTATGCTGTTCTTCCTGGAAGAGGTTCACCCACCCCACAAGCTCCTACTTCAGCTTGCTCCCAGCCCCACTCAGAGCCTAGATCCATTCCCTTCTCTTGAGAGAACAGCTGTGTATGGCCACCATCGTGGTCACAGAGCTGGGCACAATTATGGTGAATTTACTCCCATGACGACCTGCACAGGTCTGTGTTACAGCAACTCGCTTATATAGTTGTTGCTAGATTTTGACTTCTCTGTCTTCCCTCTTGACTGAGTTCTGTGCCAGCCGAGAACAGGTCTTTATCTCAGTATTCCGGTGAGGCTAGGCATTTAAGCAAACGAGTAAGGTAATGACACATTTGACCACTGAATGCATGAATGAATATGTGGACAGACATGAATGCTAGATTGTTCCAGGTGGAAAACAAAAGCTGCCTCCAAGCTTTTCCTGGGTTTAAGGTGGGCATTTTAAATAGGGGCTCATAGCTCAGACCCAACGTACACATAGCAGTTGACATTAATGCCAAAGACTTGAGAGAAATTAGTTGATAACATTGGACAAGAAGACAAGTAGGGAGACTCAAGGGTAAGACTGAGGATGGTCCCAGAAGGCAAGTTGTAGGGATGCAGATTCTGGCAGATCTATCAGAGGGGCAATGAGAGTGGTGGTTTCCCGTTGCTGGAGATGGCCAAGCAGAGAGCTGCTCACCGGAGTGGTGCACTTGGGTGTCGATGTCAGGTTGCTGTGGCCCGGGGATGCCTTTTAGCTCCATGGTGCTCTGGTTCCTTGCCCCAGGTAGCAGGACGCCTCCACGTGGAAGTGATGCGTGTTACTGGAGCTGTCCCGGAGCGTGTGGTGGAGGACGACTCTTCAGAGAACTCCAGTGAGAGTGGGAGCCTTGAAGTCGTGGACAGCAGTGGGGAGATCATCCATCGCGTCAAGAAACTGACGTGCCGGGTGAGAGGATGCTCCTGACAGGGCGCCTAGGAGTCACCTTTTGGTGCAAAACTATTTTGTAAGACGTCTCATGAGTGCTTCTCACCCACAGAGTAAAACTTAAATTTCCTGACAACAGATATGGTGGCAGACAGTCATTTTTCCCACTGATGACGGTTGTGTGAAGTTTCCAAAGTCTTTATGTATTTGGCATGCAAGGAACACATGTTGCTTAGTGAATTATGTTTTCTGGTTAAGACTGCATCTGTATCAGAAACTCATTCGTTAGGACGATCTCACAGGGAGGTGTGCGTTTGCGGCCAAGTTTACACAGTGTAGTTACAGAAGTATGGCACAGATTTCATGATGAAAAACCCCTTAATGCAATGGTTTCAAATATTTTCAGAAGTCAAATAGATGACTGATTTACTAATTTACTTTCTCACCTATTCTTAAATTTGATATAACTGAAATTAGAAAATGTGTAGTTTAGTGTTTCCTTTATGGGCATTATAATTGCAATTTTTTCTTTTTTGTCTCTTCAGGTGAAAATTAAAGAGGCAACTGGGCTGCCCTTAAGCCTGTCGAATTTTGTCTTCTGTCAGTACACGTTCTGGGACCAGTGTGAGCCTACAGTGGCCGCCCCAGTGGTGGACCCAGACGTGCCTTCACCACAGTCCAAGGATGCCCAGTACACGGTGACCTTCTCTCACTGCAAGGTACGAACTCCACTGCAGAGTGAGCCACATGGGGGCAGAGGATCAGGCAGAGTCTACAACTCTGCTTGTGGCACATGCCTTTGGCCTAGTGCTTAAGACACTCACCACCCACATCAGAGAACCTGGGTTCAGTTCCCAGCTCCGACTCCAGCTTACTGCCAATGTAGAGCCTGGAAGGTAGTTCAGGTAGTTGGGTTTCTGCCACCCAGGTGGGAGACCTGGATTGCACCCCTGATCCCTACCTCAGTACCTTTACCAGCTATTACAGGCATTGGGGAGCGAACGAGCAGAGGGTGATCTTTCTCTCTGTCTCTGCCTCACAAATAATTTTTTAAAAAAATGCTATTTATAACTTAGACATTTTCTCCATAAGACTTTTTGTTAAATGTACTATTTTCCTGAACTTTGTAACCTCAAAATGTACATCATTAAAAAATCAAATAATTTAGAAATATTTAAAATAAAATCTGAATGCTTACTCCCCGGCGGTGTAACCACCAATGACAATTTACTACTTATTTTTATGAGTAAATGCAGAATTATTCAGTTTGATTTTCAAATTCTTTTTTTTTTTTAAAAGATTTTTATTTGTATTTATTTGAGAGGCAGAGTTATAGGCAGAGGAAAAGACAGAGAGAAGGGTCTTCCGTCTGCTGGTTTACTCCCCTAAATGCCACAATGGCCAAAGCTGGGCCCATCCAAAGCCAAGAGCCAGGAGCTTCTTCTGGGTCTCCTATATGGGTACAGGGGTCCAAGCACCTGGGCCATCTTCCACTGCCTTCCCAGGTGAAAAGCAAAGAGCTGGATTGAAAGAGGAGCAGCTGGAAGTTGAACAATACCCATATGGAATGCTGGTGCCACAGGCAGAGGCTTAACCTACTGCGCCACAGTGCTGGCCCCAGTTTGCTACATATTTTAAAAAAATATTTTCTCTGTCCTACAGCTTCTGAATGGATATGATAAATATGTGCACATACACAAAAAGGCATACAGACATACTTTTATGTTACGTACACATAACTTCTTAAAAACATTTCACAAAAATGAGATCAAGCTATATATATTGCAGAATTGTGGCATCTTAACATGTTGGTTGCTGTAGATATTTTCTTTTAAAAGTAGCATAGCATTCTTCTTTTTTTTTTTTTTTTTTAAGATTTATTTGTTTATTTGAAAGGCAGAGTTACAGAGAGGCAGAGACAAAATCTTCCATAGGCTGGTTCACTCCCCAAATGGCCACAACAGTTGGAGCTGGAGTCAGGAGCCAGGAGCTTCTTCTGAGTCTCCCAAGTGGGTGCAGGGGCCCAAGGACTTGGGCCATCTTCTACTGCTTTCCCAGGCCATAGCAGAGAGCTGGATTGGAAGTAGAGCAGCCAGGACTCAAACTGGTGCCCATATGGGATGCCAGCACTGCAGGTGGCAACTTTACCTGCTACACCACAGCACCAGCCCCCATAGCATTCTTTTTAAAGAAAATATAAAATGGTAAAGATAAATTTGGATGAACCTACCATGAGACATCATCTTGCCTTCCTGATTTTAACAGGGGACAATCAAAAAGTCATCTCTGAAAGACTGTGTCCTCTGTAATTTTGTTTTTCCCAGTACAATTTTATTTAAATGATACAAGTTTCATTTATTTAGTATGCATAGATTTAGGAACATAGTAATACTTCACACCTTTCCAACCACACTCCAGCCCTTCTTCCTTCTCCCTCTCAATTTTTACAAAGATCTACTTTCAGTTTACTTAATTGTTGTAAGGTTAACCCTACACTAAGTAAAAGAGTTCAACAAATAGTATGAAGGAAAAAACACTTTTCCTCAACAGAAGAGAAAAGGGCCATAAACAATCATCGAATCTCAAAATGTCCATTTTACTCCAATACGTTGCATTTTAGGTACCCTGTTAGTTACCTGTCAGGGAAAACATGATATCTGTCTTTTTGGGACTGGCTAAGTATAATGGTTTCTGGTTGCATCCATTTTGTTCCAAAAGACAGGATTTCAGGGGCTGGCACTATGGTGTACAGGCTAATGCTGATGCCTGCAGTGCCGCATCCCATATGGGTGCTGGTTCGAGTCCTGGATGCTCCACTTCTGATCCAACTCTCTGCTATGGCCTGGGAAAGCAGTAGAAGATGGCCCAAGTTCTCAGGCCCCTGCACCCACATGGGAAGACCCAGAGGAAGCTCCTGGCTCCTGGCTTCAGATGTGTGCGTTTCACACACAGATTCAGATTGCGGCTGTTGGCGTCCAATTGGGGTGTGAACCAGTGAATGGAAGATTTCTCTCTCTTCTCTCTCTCTCTCTGCCTTCACCTTCTCTCTCTATGTAACTCTTTCAAATAAATAAATCTTTAAAAAAAAAAAAGACAGGACTTCATTTTTTGTTTTTACAGTAAGTATTTTACAGCTAAGTAGTACTCTGTAATGTACGTATGCCATAATTTCTTCAGTTGATGGACATCTGGGTTGATTGCATCTTAGCTATTATGAAATGAGCTGCAAGGAACATGTGGTTACAGATAACTCTTTCATATGCTGATTTCATTTGGTTTGGTAAATTCCCAGGAGAGGGATGGCTGGGTCATATGGCAGGTCTATATTCAGATTTCTGAGGTATCTCCATACTGTCTGCCACAGTGGCTGAACCAGTTTACATTCCCACCAGCAATGGATTAGGGTACATTTTTCCCCACATCCTCACCAGCATTTGTTGTTTGTTGATTTCTGTATGAGAGTGATCCTAACTGGGGTGAAGCGAAACCTCATTGTGGTTTTGATTTGCATTTATCTCAAGGCTAGTGACGCTGAGCATTATTTCATATGTCTGTTGGCCATTTGAATTTCCTCTCTTGAAAAATGCCTGTTAAAGTCCTTTGCCCATTTCTTAACTGGATTGTTTATTTTGTTATTGAATTTATTGAGCTCATTATAGATTCTAGATATTAACCCTTTTTCAGTTGCATAGTTTGCAAATATTTTCTCTCATTCTGTTGGTTGCCTCTTCACTTTGCTTTTTTTTGTTTGTTTGGTTTTGTTTTTTGACAGGCAGAGTGGACAGTGAGAGAGAGAGAGACAGAGAGAAAGGTCTTCCTTTGCCGTTGGTTCACCCTCCAATGGCCACCGCGGCCGGCGCACCGCGCTGATCTGATGGCAGGAGCCAGGTACTTCTCCTGGTCTCCCATGGGGTGCAGGGCCCAAGTACTTGGGCCATCCTCCACTGCACTCCCTGGCCACAGCAGAGAGCTGGCCTGGAAGAGGGGCAACCGGGACAGAATCCGGCACCCCGACCGGGACTAGAACCTGGTGTGCCAGCGCCGCAAGGTGGAGGATTAGCCTAGTGAGCCGCAGCACCGGCTTCACTTTGCTTTTGCATTGCAGAAGCTTAACTTGATGTAATCCCATTTGTCAGTTTTGGCTTTGCTTGCCTGTGCTTCTGAAGTCTTTTCCAAGAAGTCTTTGCCTATGCCAATGTCTTGTGGCGTTTCCCCAATGTTCTCTAGTAATTTGGTGGTATTGGCTTATAGATTTAGGACTTTGATCCATTTTGAGTGGATTTTTGTGTAAGGTATCAGGTATAGTTTCATACTTACACATGCAGAGATCCATTTTTCCCAGCACCATCTGTTGAAGAGACTGTCCTTGCTCCAAGGATTGATTTTAGCTCTTTTGTAAAGGTAAGTTGGTTGTAGATGTTGGGTTGATTTCTGGAGTTTCTGTTCTGTTCCATTGGTCTAAATGTCTTCTTTTTGTGTGTGCCAGTACCAGGCTGTTTTGATTATAATTGTCCTATAGTATGTCCTGAAATCTGGTATTGTGATGCCTTCGGCTTTGTTTTTGTTGTATAAAATTGTTTTAGCTATTCAGGGCCTCTTGTATTTCCGTATGAATTTTTAGCATCATTTTTTCTAGATCTGTGAAGAATGTCATTGGTAGTTTGACTGGGGTTGCATTGAATCTATAAATAGCTTTTGGTATTATAGACATTTTGATGAGACTAATTCTTTCAATCCATGAACATGGAAGATTTTTCCATTTTTTAATGTCATCTTCTATTTCTTTAATGTATAAAACATTCTACTTATAATTACAAAAATTCTCATTATAGAGATCCTTGACATCCTTGGTTAAATTTATTCCAAGGTATTTAATTTTTTATAGCTATTATAAATGGGATTGATCTTAGAAGTTCCTATTATGAATTCCAATAGTCTGTCATTGGAGTCTTTTGGATACCCAGGTCAATTCTTAATAGGTATTCATGACCCTTTTTTTTGCAAATTGTGCCAGTTTTTCCTGATTCTACACTTAGAAAACAAACTCATATCACCACCTCTAAAGACTGTCAAGTCTTTCTTCTGAAAACAAATCTCTGATGTTTCATTACCTGTATTCACTTAGTTCTGTTTCTCAAAATAGTTTACTTTTTGTATTTTTTAAAGATTTATTTATTTAGGGGGCGGTGCTGTGGCATAATGTGTTAAAGTCCTGGCCTGAAGCACCAGCATCCCATATAGGTGCCAGTTCTAGTCCCAGCTGCTCCTCTTCTGATCCAGCTCTCTGCTATGGCCTGGGATAGCAGTAGAAGATGACGCAAGTCCTTGGGCCCCTGCACCCACATAGGAGACCCGGAAGAAGCTCCTGGCTCCTGGCTTTGTATCGGCACAGCTTTGGCCGTTGCGGCCATCTGGGGAGTGAACCGGCAGATGGAAGACCTCTCTTTCTGTCTCTATTTCTCTCTGTAACTCTTTCAAATAAATAAAATAAATCTTTAAAAAAAAAAAAAGATTTATTTACTTTAAAGGCACAGTTACTGAGAGAGGGAAAGATGGAGAGAGAGAGAGGGATCTTCCACCCAAATGGCCACAATGGCCAGAGCTGGACCGATCTGAAGGCAGGATTCAGGAGTTCTTCCAGGTCTTCCATGTGGTGCGAGGGCCTAAGGACTTGGGCCTGGTTCCACTGCTTTCGCAGGTGCCTTAGCAGAGAGCTGGACTGGAGATGGAGCACTGGAGACTCAAGCACTGCTGGTGGAGGTTTAACTTTCTGTGCCACAGCTCTGGCCCCTCTCAAAAACTTTCCGAGATATTTGTTTTTATTTTTATTTATTTGCAAGGTAGGCAGAGACAGACTTTCCATCCCCTGATTCATGCCCCAGGTGCCCACAACAAACAGGGCTTGGCCAAAGTGAAGCCAGGAGCCCAAAACTCCATCCAGGTCTACTCCACGGATGGCAGAGACCCAAGCACTGGAGCCATCAACTGCTGCTCCCAGGATATGATTAGCAAGCAGCCGAAATCACAAGCGGAACGGGGCTCAAACCAGTGCACTCTGATTTGGGATGCAGGCATCCCAAGAGGCGTCTTAACCACTGTGCCAAACACTCACCCCTCAAAATCTTTATTAATTATTGTGTTGTTTTTTCTCAAATTTTCTTTGAAATGTTCCCCATATTTCTTTGGATCAACAAAGTTACTTATTTAGGAGGCTGAGATCTGACTCTTCAGTGCATTCTGCTTAACAACTGTTTTAATAAATACTAGCCTGGAGCCCCTTGGTTCACTCTGTGACCTGGGAGGTTTTTCATCTCTAAAATGTAGAGATTATACTAATGATCACTAGGCTTTTCCTTTTTCTAAAATTCTCAATCTGTCTCTAAGTAAAATGAATAAGAATATAGATAGTGTAAAGTGAAATCAGTATAGCACAGCTGTTTCCAAAAATCGAGAGTCAGAGAGCTGTCCCCACCAGAATCCCTCGGAGAGGCTCGTGGGAAGACTGGCCTGGCTTCGTGGCTGCTGCATGGTTCTAGGTGATGTGCCACACTGCACAGTCACCTCAGCACTTACCTCCTCACAGGCAGTGCTTTGTGTTTTTGGAATGAGGAGCTGGGGTGCGAGAGCTTAAGAGCAAGAACATAAAGTCATGAAGATAATCAGAGAAGGTTTAATTCTGTGATTAGTCTGTGCCTATTGAATTATTCTGTGCCAGCAGGAAACCAGAGTGACACTGTGTGCCTAAGAATGAGCCAGGAGCAAAGGAATGTAGGTTGAGCTCTACAGCTGACAACAAGCAAGACTTTGAACAAGTTGCTTTCTTGGGTTTCCTCATTCGTAGAAGAAAGATGCTGAATTAAATTACCTTATAGTTTCCTATGCAGATGTGCATATTCTCTGTTTTTTATTATTATTATTATTATTATTATTATTATTATTGTAGTCTACTACACTGAAGAGATGGGTTTAAGGTTGAGATCAGCCTAGTGGCCTCCAGAGTACAGGTGTATTCCATTCAAAGGTGAAAAGGAAACTTCACAGCCTCTTTTATGCACAGTTCTTTTTGTGCTTCTCTCCCTCCTGTTTCTCCTAGGACTTCGTGGTGAACGTAACAGAGGAATTCCTGGAGTTCATTTCAGATGGAGCCCTGGCGATTGAAGTGTGGGGCCACCGGTGCGCTGGGAACGGGAGCTCCATCTGGGAAGTGGATTCTCTTCACGCTAAGACAAGAACATTGTATGATAGGTGTGTACTGGGCTGTGAGCTTCAGACACAGGGTCAAGACGAGGACCTGGACAGGGCTTAGGAATACGGGCTGTAAACCCTGGGACTTGCCACTGTTACTGTGGCCAAGCTGCTTAACATCCCAGAGCCCGTTTCTTCCTTTGTGAAATGGGAATGCTAGAAGAAACTGTTGGGCACAAGAGAAATTCAAGGGGGAAAGAAAAGTTGTTCCAGCAAGAGACTGAAAATCTATTGGTGATAGGATCATAACCTTAAACTGAAAGCTAGAAGTATAAAAGAAGAAAGCAGGAGGACCACATCACATCACAGTTCTGAGTCACTGGTTCTCAGACCCCAGGAAGCATAGGAGAAAAACAAATAAGAGCCAATGCTCATCAAAACACGTTGGTCTGGAATTGAACAGACGAGTCACAGTCTGGCGGTGAAGTGGCAGTTCCTGGTAAAGCTGATCATTTGCCTCTTCTGGGACTCAGCTGTCCAGTCCTGGGCATTTACCTGAGAAAGATGAAAACCTAAGTCTGTTACAGCTGCATACAGGTGTTCACCAAAACTTGGTTCACAGTAAACCCAAACTGCAAACAACCCAGGAGATCTCCAGTGGGTGAACAAGTAAACAAATTGTGGGATTATCCGAATGACAGACTAGTACTGAGCCTTCCTAAAAAGGAGCGGTTGATGTCCATGTACGTGTATCTCGGTGACATTATGCTGAGGGAAGGAAGCCAGACCACAAAAGCGCCCAGGCTGCAGAATTCCATTTATGTGAAGATCTGGCACAGGCAGAACTGATCTCTGTGCTACTGGGGTGTGGGAACTGAATGGGAAGGGGGTGAGCGGATCTTCTGAGTAGTGGTGGGGGTCGGGTTACAGTGGGGATTTCACTGAATCTAAGTTATGCCTCCACAAAATAAAAAGATCCAACACCAAAGAGCTGTTTGAGAGCTCAGCAAGGAAACAATCTGTACGGCATTCATGGCGCTCTCCCTAACACACAGTAAGTGTGCAGTGAGGGGGCTCAGTATGCTCCATGCACTGCGCCTGGACGGTGACCCTGCTGTCGCACGCGATGTGCTTTTGCAGGTGGAATGAAGTGACCCGCAGGATCGAGATGTGGATCTCCATCTTAGAACTGAACGAGTTAGGGGAGTATGCGGCGGTGGAACTGCATCAGGCAAAAGATGTCAACACGGGCGGCATCTTTCAACTCCGACAGGTACCGAGTTTGGTTTTGGTTTCTTTCTTGTTTTCCTCCCTGGCCCTTCCTTCACACGGTTCCTGGGAGTCTTCTAATTGTCTGTACCTTCGTTCCCTGTTTGCCTTCCCTTTCTTCCTCCCTGTCTCCCATATCCCTCCGCGTTCCCATTACCGGCACCCTCTCTGCCCTCCCTCCCCGCCTCTGCAGGGTCATTCCCGTAGAGTGCAAGTCACCGTGAAGCCTGTGCAGCACTCGGGGACACTGCCTCTTATGGTGGAAGCCATCCTGTCGGTGTCCATCGGCTGCGTAACTGCCAGGTCCACCAAACTCCAGAGGGGGCTGGACAGTTACCAGGTAAGACGGAAAGATTTGACATAATATTTAGCGAAGACTGGTTAACGCAGAAGGCAGCTAATGATCCTGATGGGAACCTATTAGGGTGTATAACAGGACTCTTGCCTTGCCTTAACCATAGAAGTGTACCCTCTCCTTATTTACACTTTCATCCATTGCCCTTTTCCTTTCTTAAGATTAAAATACCATTTGCTTACTGTTGATGAGTACTACTCTTATTTATAAACACACATTAATGCTTTGGCAGTCATTCACTTTAGGCAGGTTAATATCTGGTCCAAAATATGATGTCGGATGTTTGGCATTGTTCTCTGGCCTGATCCCCTTTTATTTACATCATAAAATTGCCTCCCTACACTGTTATAATTAACCACTCGTTTCAAAGCTTGACTAATTTTTTTTAAAACTAAAAGCTGTTCTCATGATCAGTTTTGCCCATTAAAATTCATTGCCTACATCTTATGTTCTCATTTTAAAAAATAAAGCCCTAAGAATTGATCTTCACATAACCAGTGAGAGCACTTCAGAACTTGTCCCCAGTGGCCTAGAAGACTGTCTGTGCTTCACCATGACCCCAGTTTCCCTCCTGATATGAATCTGGCATGGGGGAGAGTGAGTGTGTTCCGCTTGGCCCCGTCACTGCTGTGACAGGGAACTGCCTCCCTCCGATCGCCTTCATTCTGCCCTGCAGTCAGGCGTGAGATTCAGCTTCTCAGTTTCCCTTTGAGTCCATGGCATTAGGACAAAGAATTTTCCAGAATCTGCAGATCAGCCCACAGACTATGAGTACCAGGTTTTAAGGAAGGCAGAGCTTTGTCAGGTGCTACCCTCCCTTATTAAGGCCAAAATTACCTCCAGTTCTCAAAGTCTACACTACAATCAATATGAAGGAAGGTGCAAGGCCAAGGTCTGCTCTGCCTGAGACAACTGCACCTCCAGACTCTACCCTCTGTGTGCAGCCTGGGAGCAGGGAACTGGCTTGTGGGCATTCTTATCTCAGTTCCAGGGTGGCTGCAGAGCTGGGTGGAGATGGAGCACTGGTCTGCAGTCTGGAGACCTGAGTGTGTACAGCTCAGCTCCACTAACTCGTTACCCTGCCTGGGAAATTCAAACTTCAAGTTCCGTTTTTCTCTTCTCCAAAATGGTGAGGTTGACTTAATAATTCCCTGAGGTCCTCTCCTACCATCAAATTTTGTAACTTAATAAACCTCTAACGTTAGATAAATATTGAGTTTGTGTGTCCCAAACTGTGGCACAGAGAAGATGGACTCGCAGCTAACAAAATGTTCTTGTTTGATAAACATCAAAAATTGATTATTTATGTTTTCTTTAAGAAAAAAAAGCTCTACCTCTTGAATTAAAACCGATTTTTGTCAAAATATGAACTTTAAAGTAGGGGCCTTCCCCCAGAGCGGTGCTCTTCACAGTGCGTAGAAACAGGCATTAAACTCAAGCTGTACCATGTTCAGGGCTTTTCTTCCCTTGTTGCCATGCTCAGGGTCCTGTCTACTAACATTGTATGTTAAGCAGTTTGTTGAGGGAATGAACATACAGCGTGAACCGTACACGATGGTTAACGTATCCACGGTCAGTAGACTAGCTGAGGAATGTATTCACACCCCTGAAAGTTTTCTCAGACTTTTTCTTAAATATGCATTTTTTACTTTTAATTGACATACTCTACTTTCATTTTTTGTTGCTCGTGTGGTGCCTTGGAATGATTCTTACACAATGACTGAAACCAGTACAGCGTATGCTGGTTTCACAACAGTTTGATACCATGGAAGCTCAGGCCAGTTTTCAGTTATTAGGGGCACTTCCCTAGTCTAAACATTAACAATAAGTTAAAGCTATTTGTTTTCTTACTTTACTAGAGAGAATTACTTCAAGGTCAATTATTTCTGGATTAGGCTTGCAATTAATGTTAGTCATATAACTGCAATGATGGTTACCAAACTTAAAAACATGGTGTATTTTGAAGTATAGTTATGAAAATAATCTTAACTATGTGTTTAATTTATTGGTTTGAGAGGCAGAAAGGTAAGGAGAGAGAGACAGATAGACAGAGCTCCCTTGTTATGGTTCACTCCCCACATGCCTGAAGCAGCCAGGGTTGGGCCAGGGCCAAAATCAGGAGCTGGAATTTCAATCCAGGTCCCTCACATGAGTGACAGGAACCCAAATGCTCAAGCCGTCACCATGATCTCCCAGGGTCTGCATCAACCAGAAACTGGAGTCAGGAGCTAGAGCCAGGACTTGAACTTAGGCACTCTGATGTGGGACACAGGTGTCTTAATTTCTAGGCCAAATGCCCACTTCTCAACTATATCTTTAAAGCACGGGTTCTTAAAAAAGAAGGTTCATATCTTTTCTATGAGTCAAAAACATTTACTGATAAATCTAAATCAAAGGCTTCTATCGAGGTTCTGTTTCTAAGGAAAACTGTCTCAGTCAAAACCCTTTTGTTTTCAAAATATTTTTGCCAAGATTGTTACTTTATGTAATCATGATAAAATATTGCCATATGTTTGGGACAGTTGGGATTTTTTTCAACTGATTGTTAGAGTTAATAGTGGCTACTGAGAAATCCACGTTACTCAGAATAGTGCCTAATGCTTTGACAGCAGTATTGCAGTACAGAACCTTGTATGTTCATAGCCATGGGCTCCCCAGGCGTTCCCTTGATGATTTCATCAGCAGGAGTGGTGTGCTGCTGCCAGGAGCCAAAGGCCTGGCTGCCAGTCCTGACCTGCCACTATCTGTGTGATCTTTGGGTTAAATCATTTCAGCCTTTGTTTTGTGTCATGACTAAAAGAAAAATCGAGCAAAAGAATCTCTAAAATCCCTTATAGGTTTGCCATTTGTTGTTTTTAAATGGCTGCTCTCTTTGTTTAAAAAATAAGGTCTTAAAATGGTATATAAGTGAATTCTACGCATTAGACCCTTTGGAGAGTCAATGAAATGTGTTACTTTGCTGATGTTGTGTGAGCTGTTCATTGTGATATGCGTGTGAAGCTTAAAGAATGATTTTTCCTGTGTGTTGTTTGAGAAACAAAATGCATGTCCTTTGTGTTTATTTTTTCCTCCCAGAGAGATGATGAGGATGGTGATGATATGGATAGTTATCAGGTATTGCTGCTGCTGTCAATCCTGTGGCATGGGGCACAGCTACTGCTAATTGCCAGCATTTGCAAAGCGGAGGCCTGGGAGCTGAGAGGAGGAGCAGAGAGCAAGAACATGCAGTGTTTCACTTGCTTTTGATTTGCTTTGTATTTAATCAGGAGTACAGTACTATCTCTGTAGATTTCTCTGCAGTTCAAAATGTGTATCAAGATACTGCATTTTTGCTATGCCATCTTGCTAGCTTGTAAAGCCTTGCTACACAAGACCAATACCTCTGCATTTAAACATGATTTTTTTAAGATTTATTTATTTATTTGAAAGGCAGAGTTACAGAGAGGCAGAGGCAGAAAGAGAGAGAGAGAGAAAGAGAGAGAGGTCTTCCATCCGCTGGTTCACTCCCCAAATGGCCACAATGGCCAGAGGAGCCAGGAGTTTCTTCCAGGTCTCCCACATGGGTACAGGGACCCAAGGACTTGGACCATCTTCCACTGCTTTCCCAGGCCATAGCAGAGAGCTGGATCGGAAGTGGAGCAGCTGGGACTCGAACTAGCGCCCCTATGAGATGCTGATGCTGCAGTCAGCGGCTTTACCCGCTATGACACAGCACTGCCTCCAAAACTGGTGATCTTAAAAACTACGCAGTTATTCATCCATGCTCTTTAGGGACTCTTTTGTCTTTCCTATGCTAAACTGCTTGGCTTCTTACATCTAAGAGTCTTGTATTATTTTCATGTGCACATAGCTTTGTTTTGTTAGCCAGTTTTCTTCTAAGCTAAGCTTAGTCCTCTGTAACATAGAACTTAAATCTCAGCTTTCTTTCATTATAAATGAAGAGGAAAAAATATGAGGCTACTTCAGAAAGCTCATGGGAAAATAAAATAAAAAGATTTTATTTTTATGCAAAAGTAAATTTGAAATCCATACATAGGTTTTTTTATAATACACATTTTGTCCACATTTTGTGACCCTTTTGAAAATTTCCTTGTATTGCATAACTTCCAAAAATTTATGCCAAAATAAATATATGTTTTAATTCCATTTTCCATGAGCTTTCTGAAGTGCCCTCATACTTGCAAATGTGAAATTTGCCTAGTCAGTACTGACTGGCCCGGTGTCATGGGACATGGAGTGATAGAATTGTAATCAGAGCAGCAAATTAAGCTTGAGGCTTCTGAGTTCAAGTCCCAGTCTTTGTACTGATTCTCCCTGCAAGTTTAGAAGGATGTTTGCCCACTGTGCCTCCTACACATAAAATAGGGGTACATTGTAGGGAAGTCCCAGAGGCCTTCCGGTGTCTATGCCTGAAGGATTAGACTAGGGTTAGGCAATTCAGAGTGTTTGGAGTAGAACGGAATGATTTTTCTTTCCTTCTTCATAATTTTAATTAAAAAGTAAGCAAGCAATAACAAATGTTAGGGGAAATATCTCCTGAACCCCTGGGATCTCAGCAATGCCGTTGACTAACGTCCTGGTGCTATTCGTTTTCCTGCCCCATTGTTCACAGTGAAGCCAAGAGCCTGCTTCTGGAATTTCTTAAAGCATGGCTGACTTGCATGTTGGGTTTTGCATGGAGATTTGGGATTAGCTTCATGATCGTGCTGGACTTAAAATCTTTGCAGCAAGTTCAAAGGGTTCTCTGCCGATCTATCTATGCATTCCAAAAAACACAAGTTGTCAGCCATTGAATGATGGACTATCAAAGTGCCTGTCATTTCTCATTTCACGTGCTGTTATGTGATTTGATCTCTCTTCATGCTGTCCTGCCTAGAATCACAAACCTTTCGGTGAATAGCTGCAATTTAAATACACACACACACACACACACACACACGTCATCCAACAGTTGCTATAGTTTGAGCTTGTCCTGCTTTTACATATAATTACCCCTGTGAAGATCCAGGGGCTCTGGTTGCTGGATGCAGGCATCCTTGATCAGCATGCAATGTTAACTGAGGCCTCTTTGCTTTCTTGCATATTAATCACACAGCAATATTCAATGGCCCTTCTAATGGAAAGTTTCCTAATCAATTTAAATATCTGTATAAAAAAAAGAGCAGTGGAGACCCTCTGTAAAAAAGACTTTCCCTCTCTGCTGTCAGGAAGAAGACTTAAACTGCGTCAGAGAGCGGTGGTCAGATGCCCTCATTAAACGACGAGAATACCTGGATGAGCAGATCAAAAAAGTCAGCAATAAAAAAGGTATGTGAGATGAGACTCTTGCCATGGTGGGGAGTTGTCTTCTTCCCTTAAGTTTGCAGTGGTGTCTTAGTTTTTTGTTTTTTTTTTTTTTTTTTTTTGAACTTGTGAGAGTTATAGGCATTTGGTAATCATAGTGTACATTGTTGATTTAAGAAGGCTCTGGATTTGAAAATAATACATTGAATTCTGGAAGCTGCTTTCCAAGGTAGCGTGTGCATCCAATGTGGTCTTTGTGAGATTCCACTATGGCATACCATGGACAGGGTCAAAAGTGGAGGAGGTGACGGTGCAGTCCGTCAGCCCCATCTTCAGATACTTGCGAGATCTCAAATTCAAGTGTGGCTCTATGAGCAAGTGAACTTGCAGATAGAGGGCAGTATCCCTGGTTTTGGTGAGTACATAGCCTCATATTAGATGATGCAGAAGAGATTAATTCTAAAACAAAGTCAAGAAAACTGGATGAGATCACTCTATAAGGAGGAAATACTACTTTGCTACAAAGTGTCTCCAACTAGGAATGATCAATGAAGTGAGAAATTATTAAGAAAGTAATACAATGTTTTTTGTTTGTTTTTGGTGTCCTTTCATTAGGAGTGTAGTTCTAAAACATTTGCTCATATTGTTTTGATTATCCTTATGTTATTAAAAGAAGACAATAAATATTGTGGGATTTTTATCTAAAATAATAATAATACATTTTCATAAAAACTCCAAGTTATGTCATAAAACTATGACACTAAACGTCAAACTAAATTTTGTTTTGATGAACACAAATGTGATTAATATTCATAGTCAATCAGAGGTGTCACAGAATCCGAGATGCAGGACTTAAGAGCAGCAAAAGGGTCCTCTCTAAAACCACACTCGTTGCTGCCCAGCTACTGTTGGTGCCTGTGCATTCAGCTGTTTCGGGATCAGCCTCACAGCTCTGCTGGCTGCCACCCAGCTCCACAGGTGCAGTTTACTCGTGCCGGCAATAGGCTGCAGGGCTCGGCAGCACAGCTCTGCTCTTCAACTCCTCCCTTCTCCTCCTGCCTTCACCGGCCACTGGTTGTACTTGATTCTGCACCAAAGGACACATCACAAATGTTAGTCCTTTACATGTAGAAGATAGGAAACATTTCCCTCCGGAAGACACCGTGACCTGACATGCGACGTCAGTTTGCACTAAGCCTGCGGGTAAACAGATCATTCTGACTGTACCAAGGGAGCCCCAGAACTGAAGTTCAGGTGCGACGGTTTCAAAGTCCCATTCATGATGAGCATAAAGGTCAAGAAAGTCAGTGTTACCCAGTGGTGTATATGGTGTTTTCCCCCTCTGTCTTTATGAAGTGGTGTGTGGCTTTATAAAGCAGTGCCACATCATCCATCACTTCATTTGATGCTTCCAGTGCTGTCCCAGTGCTCTTTCTGCTGTGCCTGGCCTAGAGCGCCTTAGGCTGCGCTGTGTCCTAGCCTCTTTCAGTTCACCTGGGTGTTTATCCGTGAACTTCAAAACCTCAAAAAAATCTGTGTGCAACACAGCAAAGGTTTACACAACAACTTTGGCTATCACTGAATGAAAATGTCTTTGGTTTAAGTTTAGATTCTACAGTGGGAAAAAAGAAGCTAAAGTTAGAAATTGTACTTTCTCTCTCACTGGCACTCATCTCCCTCATCCTGTTCTGCAGAGAAAACAGAGGATGACGTGGAGCGGGAAGCTCGGCTCGTGGAGCAGTGGGTAGGGCTGACGGAAGAAAGGAACGCTGTGCTGGTGCCAGCCCCAGGCAGTGGGATCCCCGGGGCGCCCGCCGACTGGTGAGGCCACCCTTCCTGCCGTGCAGGCCTGGTGGTAGTGGTGCGGATTGCCGGTGGCGAGAGCCATGCCAGACGCAGCAAATGCTCACTGTGCTGCTCAGGGAAGGGCCTCCCGTCTCTAATGCTCCCCTCCCTTTATTCCAACTCCCCCCACATGGGGAGCCAGAATGCATTCATTCCCTGGCTAGGAATCCAATACCCCATTCTTCTAGTCCTCTGAATAAGCAACCTGAACATTGTTTCCTGATCTCCAGAAATTATTTTATTTTGGCTCAAAAGAAGGGTGTTTCCAGAGTACACCTAAAGAGTTTCTGCCCTCGTGGTAGTATTATAAGAATTCAGGAAAATAGACGTAAAATACCTACTGCATTATAATATAACCTTGCATGCCCTAGTGTATATAAAATGCCTTCCATGCCCATTCATTAACAGTAGCTGCTGCTGCTTTATATTCTCGTTGACATTCGTATTACAACACTACGTCCTGCCATTTATGAGCAGTCAGATTCCCTTTAAGCCCAGAACGTTCAGGCCCAGACAGCCTCTTCTGGACAGGCATAGAAACAATAGCGATGCCATTGGTTTCGCCGTTGACAAGTGCCAGTGCAGTCAACTTTGTGGTCAGCTGTATGGAAGGAGACTTCTCTCCCTGCAGATTCCACTGTTGGGCTAGACTCCCACAGCTCACGGGCAGGACTTCTGCCAGCCTCTTCTTAGGGACACCCGGCTTGTTATCAGTCTTGTTAGGCTCCTCAGAGCCCTCTCCTCTCCTCAGTCTCTCACTTGAGGTGCTTTCAAACTTCAGATCAGCTTGAGCGTTTGTCCCACGTAGTCCCGGGTCCCCTCCTCCTTACTCTGACTCGGAGACATGATGGGCCCAAGACCTTTGTTCTAACAGGCGATGCCCAGGCAGCTGAGGCTGCCCTCTCCTGCACACAGCACCCCTTCATCCATGTGTTGCATTCACTCCTCCTTTGAGCTTTTCTAAAGGATCATCTGCCTGGTGTACCCCCTCTAAGCCCTGACACCACTCTACCAACACCCCCATCCCTTGTACTGATGATAGAATTATTTTAAAAAGCCTTGAAATCTCTTTTCCACTAATTATGTGTAAGTCATATAGCTGGTAGTCCTTTTTATATCATGTAATTCCATGCTTTGTATTAGCAGGAAGGTCAAGAAAAGTGAAAGTGCCAGTATTCCATCAAGAGAACCTGCATCTGCATAGTGGTTCTCTTCTGGGCCCGTGTTTGAAATGTTCTATCTAGCAAAATGTCACACATGTATTTTATTATAATTAAATGTTGTTATCACATTTAGGATCCCACCTCCTGGAATGGAAACTCACATACCAGTTCTCTTCTTGGATTTGAATGGTAAGTAGAGGCCGACGCTGTGGCTCACTAGGCTAATCCTCCGCCTGTGGCACCAGCACCCCAGGTTCTAGTCCTGGTTGGGGTGCCGGATTCTGTCCCGGTTGCTCCTCTTCCAGTCCAGCTCTCTGCTGTGGCCTGGAAAGGCAGTGAAGGATGACCCAAGGGCTTGGGCCCTGCACCCGCATGGGAGACCAGGAGGAAGCACCTGGCTCCTGGCTTTGGATTGGTGCGGCGTGCCAGCCACAGCACACCTGCCATAGTGGCCATTTGTGGGGTGAACCAACAGAAGGAAGACCTTTCTCTCTGTCTCTCTCTCTCTCTCTCTCACTGTCTAACTCTGCTTGTCAAAAAAAAACAATTACTCTGAAACATTAATGCTTATAGAAACTACCTGGGAAAGTACTTACCCCCACAGAGATTCTCTTTAGACTCAGCAAGGGCCTGGGAACCTGCATTTCTGGCTACTGCAATTTGCTCCCCGCCCTTGGTTTTTAGGCCATTGTATAATCGCACTGTAAGCCCATGTTAAGAGTTGTCTTTTAGTATAGCGATGAGATCGGACTTGGGCCAACTAAAACAATGATTTTCAATGTGTTTTGTGAGTAAAACCCTTGTCCAAGTGACATCATAAATGGAACCATCTTTGGAGAAATGGAAAGCAGAGTTGCTGAGTTTGGGAGGAGGCAGGCTCCTGGCAGACCTTTCTTCCAGACACTGAAACTCACACAGCCTGGGGGCCAGTGCTGTGGCACAGTGGGTTATGCCGAGGCCTGCTGTGCAGTCATCCCATGTGGACACTGGTTCAAGTTCCAGCCGCTCTGCTTCCAATCCAACTCCTTGCTATTGTGCCTGGGAAAGCACCCAGTGCTTGGGCCTCTGCACCCACAGGAGAGACCTGGATGATGCTCCTGGCTCCTGGCTTTGGCCTGACACAGCCCTGGTCATTGCAACCATTTAGAAAGTAAACCAGTAGATGAAAGATTCTCTCTCTCTCTCTCTCTCTCTCCCTCTCTTTCTCTGTAACTCTTTCAGATAAATAAATGGATCTTTAAAAAAAAATGAATCCCACATTGGTTAGGGTATTGGAAGATGATCTTCCTCATATTTCTTTTTTAAAAGATTTTATTTGTGGGCCGGCGCCGTGGCTCAATAGGCTAATCCTCCACCTTGCGGCGCCGGCACACCGGGTTCTAGTCCCGGTCGGGGCGCCGGATTCTGTCCCGGTTGCCCCTCTTCCAGGCCAGCTCTCTGCTATGGCCAGGGAGTGCAGTGGAGGATGGCCCAGGTGCTTGGGCCCTGCACCCCATGGGAGACCAGGAAAAGCACCTGGATCCTGGCTCCTGCCATCGGATCAGCGCGGTGCACCGGCTGCAGCGGCGGCCATTGGAGGGTGAACCAACGGCAAAGGAAGACCTTTCTCTCTCTGTCTCTCTCTCTCACTGTCCACTCTGCCTGTCAAAAATAAAAAAAAATAAAATTAAAAAAAGATTTTATTTGTTTATTTGAAAGAGTAACAGAGAGAAAGATCTTCCATCTGCTGTTTCACTTCCCAGATGGCTGCGACGACTGGGGCTGGGCCAGGCCAAAGTCCGGAGCCAGAAGCTTCATCTGAGTCTCCCACATGGGTGGTAGGGGCCCAAGTTCTTGGACCAGCTTCCCCTGCTTTTCCCAGAACCTTAGCAGGGAGCTGGGTCAGAAGTGGACCAGCTGGGACCCAAACCAGTGCCCATTTAGGATTCTGATGTCACAGGCAACAGCTTTACCCACTATGCCATGAAGCTAGCCCCTGATCTTCATATTTCTTCCATGTGCTCAGAACTTTGATTTTCTTTGTTGATAATTTAATTGACTAAAAATCTCTAATCTAGTATAGGTTGTATAAGTAGGACAACAAATGTAACATTAGACTACAGAAAGAAGCAAAGCTGTGAAGTGTTTTTGGTGAGACTATCTGCTCCCAGCATTACTGATGGAATATATTGTGGGTTCAGCTGCTGCTGCTTGGAATACACATATCCCAGATTGGAGTGCTGGTTTGAGTTCCTGCTACTCCACACTTCTGATCCAGCTTCCTGCTAATGAGCCTGGGAGGCACAGAAGATGGCTCAACTACTTGGGTCACTACCACCCACATGGAATACCCTCATGGAGTTCCTGGTTCCTGGCCCAGTCCCAACTATTACATGCCCCTAGGGAGTGAACAAGCAGATGGAAAATCATGCTCTCTTGCTGTGTGTGTGCGAGTGTGTGTGTTTTGCACATGTGTCTCCCTCTCTTTTACTCTGCCTTTCAAATACAATGAAGAAATCTTAAAAAAAAAAAAAAAAAAAAAAAAAAAGAATATCTCCACTCAGCCTTACAGGAGCCTCACCAGGCAACTCTCCCACTTCCACAGTTGCATTTGTAGAGGATAAAAGCTATTGTAAGTCTTGGAGTCTGTTTCAACTGCAGGATAAGGAATGAAAGAAAAAAAAAAGGAATGAAAGAAAACATTAAAAAAAAAAAAGTGTTCTCTGTAAACTGCATTATCCATAAAAACATATTTTAAAATTTGGCATGTTTATTCAAAAAGTGACTTTGCCCTTCCTTCTTCTCGTGTGCCCTGGACTTGGCTAGCGGATAACCTCAGTGCCAACGAGCAGCTTGTGGGCCCCCACGCTTCTGGTGTGAACTCCATCCTGCCCAAGGAACACGGCAGCCAGTTCTTCTACCTGCCCATCATCAAGCACAGCGATGACGAGGTAGCTACCACACTCCTACCCCCCCCCAGCTGACTGCAGGGAATTTGGATTCTCTCATGTCCCCAGGAGCTGTCTTCCCCTGCTGTGGTTCAAGAGGACTGGGAACTTTAGGGAAAATTGAGCATTTGTGTTATCTTTGAAAAAGGGAAAGAAAGAAAGCTGTTTGATTATGTTGAGTTAAATTTATTTCCTTTCCCGAGTGTGTCTTGTAAAACCACAAGCTGGATTGTGTCTTGTTCTCCTCCTGCCCCCACCCCCGACCCTAGGTGTCAGCCACCGCCTCTTGGGATTCCTCGGTGCACGATTCTGTGCACTTGAACAGGGTCACACCCCAGAATGAAAGGATTTACCTGATTGTGAAGGCCACGGTGCAGCTCAGCCACCCGGCCGCGATGGAGCTGGTGCTGCGGAAGCGGATTGCGGCCAATATTTACAACAAGCAGGTAGTACTGGGGCCTGGCTCTGCACCGTGTCTGTGCACTCGCAGCTGTCTCCCACTGCGTGTCACAGCACAGAGCTCTGTGGCACTAAGGCAGGGGGTACGCTAAATGTGACCACACTGGCGGAGTTAGAGTCTGGAGCTCATTTATCCGAGATAACACGAGGACAGCACAGGTGACTGTCATCCCCAAGGGACCTTTCCACTTTGACTCGTTTGAGATCCCAAACAGCAGACAGTGGAGCTGTGACATCTTTCATTGCTTGAAAGTAGAAAAACAGACTGAGAAGTCAAGCGCCAGGTCCCAGCAGGATAGAGACAAAACCAGGACAAAACAAATAAATCCCTGTCCTCCAGCACCACCAGATCTCATCCCTGAGGTGCTGTCAACAAAATTGAGCCTCTCCAGGGTGCTTCCTGCTGTCCCAGGAAAGACTGATTAAACCCAGGAGAGATCAAGGGCGGCCAGCAGATGGGGAGAGGAGCAACCCCGAAGCCCCAGATGTGCTGCAAATTCTGAAATCCAACCCCTGAGTAACAGCTGGACACTCTGTCCCTCAGGGTGGAGACAAGGATTCTTAGGTTCTGGGGTTTTTTTTATTTTGTTTTGTTTTGTTTTTGTTTTCCAAGTATGGTATGTGTTTGTGTGTGTGTGTGTATCAAATCATAATAATTGATTATACTTTTACAATCTGTAAAGTACTAAACAACTTTGGTTTGCTACGTAGTTTAATGCAGATTTCCTTTTCTACCAGAGTTTCACACAGAGTTTGAAGAGGAGAATATCATTGAAGAATATATTTTATTCCTGTGGTGTCACCTATGAAATAGTGTCCAACATACCCAAGGTAAAATGTCGTGTAAAATACTGAGATGTAGATATGTGTGTGTGTGTGTGTGTGTGTGTAATGCTCCCGGCCTTTAAAGAATTTTCTCCTCGCACTTTGGATGAAGACGAGTCCACGTTTCCCACGGGCCCTTTGCTTCCTGTCCCCAAAGGCGACCGAGGAGATCGAGGATCGGGAAACGCTGGCTCTGCTGGCGGCCAGGAGTGAGAACGAAGGCACATCGGACGGGGAGACGTACATCGAGAAGTACACGCGCGGCGTGCTGCAGGTGGAGAACATTCTGAGTCTGGAGCGGCTGCGGCAGGCAAGTGAGCCAGTGGCTGCCCAGCGGGAGCGGCCTCCCGCCGTCACCCAGGCTGGCCGCGCGGGAGTGTGTTCGGCAGGCGCCTCGCCGAGCCTGTCAGAGCAGGAGCACTGGTGTGGTCACCTCCTTAGAGAAAAGATTCTGCCGAATTAGGACCAAATAGAAAAAGAAGGGCAAACACTTCTCCTCGCCAAGCGCTACGCCCTAGTAATTTAGGTTTAGTAATTTAGTGTTTGATGACATCTTCCAGCGGACCCCACTTTCAAAGAGAAAGCTCAGTGTGAGAGGTTAGCTAACTTGCCCGAGGTTCCACAGCCAGGAAGTGGTGCAGAGTCTGATGTAAACTCAAATAGCTTGGATAAGCTTAGCCAGGGACTGTTACTGTCTGCCTAATCAGTAGGCCCCACTTGCTTTTTTGACATGTGAAAATAACCCACTAAACAGTGGAACTGTAAGACCAAGGGATGTCTTTGCGTAGGAGCAGTGGTTGCCACTGTGGAAAAATGTTGTTTTTTTTTTTTTTTTTTTTGAGCAGCAGGAAGAATAAGATTGGCATCTGTCAGGAAAAAAAAATGTTCCCTTTGTGGAAATCTCACCCAAATTGAATGCATGAGTAAAATACAAAGAGCATAAAACTTTATTGGTGTTTTTGTAACTTCGTAGAAAGTGGAATTAAAAGATAAATTGATTTGGGTGCAAAAAAAATTGAAATCCGTGTATAGTATGGGTGTACAAAGTTCGTGGAAAATATGTATTCTGAAAAACTATGCATGGATTTCAAAGTGTTTTTGCACCATAATAAACTTAACCTTTTGATTCCATTATTCCATGAACTTCCTGAAGTACTGGGTCCCTTTATTTTTTCTGTCCACGTGTATGAAAAATTCACAGTGAATGTCTTTCTTCTGGCAGTTTTCCGGGTTTTATTTATTAAAATTTTTTGACAGATTATTAAGCGAAAACCTAAAGGGGTATGGTGAGATTCCAGCTTTGTAATTATAGGTGTATGTGGGAGGTGGGAGATTAATCTCTGTTTCTCTATTTTTCTAACTCCTCACACCAGCATGTATTACTCTTCTAACCAGATGAGGCAGTGATAAACGTTGTTTTCAAATCTTTATTTGATCACAGGCTGTCACGGTCAAGGAAGCACTTTCCACCAAGGCGCGGCACCTGCGGAGGAGCCTCAGCACGCCGAACGTCCATAATGTAAGCCCGCACGCCCGTCAAGGCGCTGCCCCTTCGCCGCATGGCTCGGGGTTTGGGTAGGGGATGCGGGGACGTGAGGTGGCGAACAGTGCGCATGGCGCAGTGCAGTGTCCCGCCGTGCCAGGGCGCCTCTGCGTGCGGGGGACGCACACCGGCAGGCACAGGCCATCTGATGAATTCCCGTTCACCTGCCTCGCTCCTAGCGAGAGCTTTCTCAAGATGAGGATTGAATTTGGTTGGTTCAGGCGGTGGAGCCAGCTGCAGTCCCTGGCAGCCGGAGCCCCTGGGTGTCGCGTGCTCGTTCTAGCAGCCCTGGCGCGGATTCACTCTGCTGCCCGTCGGTGCGGTAGAGGGCGGTGCCCTCCATCTCGAGTAGACACCCGGTAGTTCATAGTTGTTCCTTTGACCACTTAATTAACCTGCTCAGCCATTTCATCTAGAAAGTCCAGTCGAGCTGGACTGTTTAGTAGAGGGGATGCTGTCTTGGGAAGAAAGGAGAGTAATTCAGGAACCAGTGCAGAGCGGTCCATCTCAGAAGGAGCAGGGTGAAAGTAAGTTCCTGCCAAGGAAAAGCTCAGAATTGTTTGCCTTCCTGATCTCTAGAATTGCCAGAAAATGATTCAAGACATGATAGACTTACAAAACTTGCTTTACAGTAGGCCACAGAGCAAATATCAAAAATCATTAGCATACAGATTACTACTCTTTTTTAAAAGATATATTTATCTATTTGAAACCCAGAGTTAGAGAGAGAGAAAGAGGGGCAGAGAGAGAGAGAGAGATCTTCCGTCCTCTGGTTCACTCCCCAGATGGCCACAACGGCTGGGGCTAGGCCAGGCTGAAGCCAGGAGCTTCATCTGGATCTCCCAAGTGGGTGCAGGGGCCCACACACTTGACCCACTTCCCTTATCAGGAGTGAAGCAACCAGGACTTGAACTGGCACCTATCTGGAATCTGGTGTCGCAGGCAGCAGCTTAACACCCCACACCACAGCTTTGGCCCTCAGATTGCTACTTCTGAACATAATACAAGTATTAGAAATAGGTAATAAGAGACTTAGAGAGTTGTAAGTTGAAGGCTTTTCAGATTAACTCATGTATTCAAGAAGAGATCAAACTGGAAATTAGGATGTATTTAGAATCTAAATAAAGGTTATATATACCAATACCTTTGGGATTCAGTTAAAATGGTACTAAGATGGAAATCAGCAGCCTAAAATCCCTATTATTCCATTTAAACAGAATAGTAGACAGTAGAGAAAATGAAAGGGTAAGAGCTGCTATTAGGAAATTTATAGCTCTTACAGCAAGAGTAAAAAATAATGAAGTAGGGCAGGCATTGTGGTGCAGCAGGTTAAGTGATTGCTTGGATACCCACATCCCGTATCGTAGAGCCTAAAATCGAGTGCCACCTTCCACACGGGTGATTCAAATGGAGCTGCTGGCTCCTCGCCCAGTCCTAGCTGATTTCGAGCATTTGAGGAACAAAATAGCAGATGGAAAATCCCTCTCTCTCTCTCTCTCTCTCTCTCTTTCCCTTTCCTTCCCTCCCTCCTTCTTGCTCTCACTCTGTCACTCAGCCTTTCAAATAAATAAAACTACATTTTTTGAAAAGAATAAGGTAAACATCTAGCTTAGAAAGCAAAGAATAACCACCTATGATATAAACTAAAAAAAAAGTTTTTAACCTAAATCTGATCAATACTCTAGATCTAACTACTGGTATTTATAGAGGACCCAGTAAAAATATTAAGTGACACCACAGGGATTCAATTAGCACAACCCAGACTGTGGGAGACTTGACAGGAAACATGACCTAGTTTTTTAAACAAATTAAATTTCAAGAGGCCAGCATTGTGGTGCAGTGGGATAAACTGCTGCCTTTAACACTGGCATCCTGGGGCCGGCGCTGTGGTGTAGCAGGTGAAGCTGCTGCCTGCAGTGCTGGCATCCCATGTGGGCACCAATCCACCTCTCTGCTATGGCCTGGGAAAGCAGTAGAAGATGGCCCAAGTCCTTGGGCCCCTGCACCCACGTGGAGACCCAGAAGAAGTTCCTGGCTCCTGATTTCGGATCAGCTCAGCTCCGGCCATTGTGGCCATCTGGGGAGTGAACCAGTGGAAGGAAGACCTCTCTCTCTCTCTCTGTCTCTACCTCTCTCTGTAACTTGGTCTTTCAAATAAATAAAAATAAATCATATATATATATATATATATATATATATATAATCTTAAGCCACATGTAAGTTTATTGCAAAAACTCAATCAGGAAGAAACAGAAATCTGAATACAACTATTGCCAAAAGGAAAGCCTAAACAGAAAAAATGACCATGTTCATGGATGGGAATATATAATACCAAACAATTGGCACATGCCCTTAAACCGATCTATAAATTCCCAAGAGAATGGCTTTATAGGATTTGACAGGCTCTTTCTAAAATCCCTCAGAGAAGCAGTCAAAAGTACACATAACACATACCTTTACCTGTAGCCCAGAAAGTGCCACAGGTGTAATCATTTACTCTAGAGATTCTTACAGATACACAGGCTGTATGGATGGCTGAATGATAGTGAAAATAATGCACATATCAATAATTGTAGGAGGCTTCTAGGGTATTACTAAGCAGGAGTGACAGCAGCATTTGTTTCAAAGTAGTTTATAATGACAAAATATTAGAAGCAGCCTAGATGTCCCATCAATGGAAGAATGGAACAAAAATAAATCATTGAAGGCCATGCATAGTCAGGTACTAGTTATATGAGGTGTAAAAATATGCTAAATAATCTGGTTGCTGTTTATGCATATATATTTATTTACATGTATATGATTTATTTACATATATTACATATTTGTAAAGTTAAGTATATGTATATATAATATATACATATACATATATTACATATATGTGTTTATTACACATATATGTGATTATATAAAATGTGGATGGGGGCATGGGAGTTTGGTACAGCGGTTATGATGTCTCTTGGGACAATTGCATCCCATATCAGAGTGCCTGGTTTCGAATCCCAGCTCTGCTCCCAGTTCCAGATTCATGCTCATGGCACCCTGGGAGGTAGCAAGTAATAGCTTGGGTCTCTGCCACCAATGTGAGAGACCCAGACTGAGTTTCAGCTCCTGGTTTTAGCCTGGCCAAGCCGTGGCTTTTGCAAGAGTAAACCAGTGGATGGCAGGAGGGGTGCCTCTCTCTCATTCTCTTTCTTCCTTTAAAATAGATGAAGAATTTAAAGTTTAAGGCATGTATGGGAATCATTAACCTCACACTGATGGTAATCATTCCTGGGAGGGTGGGGAGAAGGGGGAAAAGAGTGATATAGGTGTCAGCTACATGTGTGACCCATTTCTTTATATATAAAAAAAGGAAATTATGTTCAGTATATAAGCCATATTGATAAAAATCATGTCTTACAGGTCTCCTCCAGTCGACCAGATCTTTCTGGCTTTGATGAAGATGATAAGGTGTGTACCTGTGGGCATGACTGGGTTATAGCAGAATCTAAGTCTGAAAAGTTAAGAAAGGGATCTTGGTGTTTTTACAATCTCTGGACTTGCCAGTTGGTCTTGGGCAAATCATTCTTTCCACAGTTCCATTTCCAAGTCCAAATACTCGATATGACATTGCTATGTGCTTTCTGTATTACATCGTTACTTAGCATGACCCATTTCAAGCCAGGACAGTGCCACACATAATTAAATTAAATATGTGTATGTTTGTGGGTCTGTCTCTAAATTATTTAAGAAAGTATTACATCCACTGTAGAAAAAGCCGAAATTTTTAATGTGTAAAATTAGGAAGTTTAAAATTAAGGGTGGTTTGCAAATGTTCGCCAACTACTTTGGGGGCACACATTGTATATGAGTTACTGTACTAGGGACTGTGGATGGATGAAAAAGTATGAACACAGATTATTTCCTCTGGATGTTCAAAATCCAGTCCTTCGAGGCAGACAACTCCTGGGAAGTAGAAATAAGATTAAATAGGCTTGTATGACATACAAGAGTTTTCTCGCAAAGTACTTTGGTTTGGTCTTTAAACTATCCAGTCACCCAATAGTTATGCCAGATTGTTCAAAGCAGCTGCCTCCAGGAAAGGAGTAAGGTGAACCAGTCCACGTAGAGATACAAAAGTGAATTTCACTGTATTTGTAATTATTTTATTAAATCTTGAGCAGATACAATAAAATACTGATATTTATTCACATTGAGCACAATAGTTTTTCTTATGTTATTTAGCACTTTTTGATATGTGTGAGCTATTTCAAAATAAAAAGCACATACTACTCTAAGGATATAGAAGAAACTCCATTCCAGGCTTCATTTCTTGTTTCAGAGTCACTGATCTACCCTTAACCCATATTTTTGCCTTGTAGGGTTGGCCAGAAAACCAGCTGGACATGTCTGACTATAGCTCCAGTTTCCAAGATGTGGCATGTTACGGAACTTTACCCAGGGATTCACCTCGAAGGAGTAAAGAAGGTAGTGGTGACACCCTTTTGCAGTGACGTTTCTGTGTAGCTGCTTGGGGATCTATGAAAACAAAGTCTTCCATGCATATACTAAGATCTGAAACCGAGTCTAGGAAGCCCTGATCCAAACTGTCTGCCCAAACAGAACAAACCATATCCACTTACTTGGTTTCTTTTTGCTTGGTATACACCATATCATCCAAATAATGATAGTAAATACTAGTTTGTGTGTATTCCTTTAGAATTTCCAAGTCATTTTAGATACATCATGCTCTGAATTTGAAGTCAGTTTTGAGACACACACAAATCCTATCATATTACATCATTCTTTGCCAAAAGAACATCCACCTCTTTCATGTTTTTGTGCTCAAAGGAATTTTTAGGAGAACAGACTCTGATTCATAAAGCAGTTTCAGAAATATATGAGAGGGGCTGGCCTTGTGGCACCACATATGAAGCCACCCCTTGTAATGCTGGCATCCCATATCAGAGTGTCGGTTCCAGTCCCTGCTGCCCTCCTTTCTCTCCAACTTCTTGGGGTCCTGGTCACACATGTGGGAGACCAGGATGGAGTTTCTGACTCCTGGATTTGGCCTGGCCCAAACTAGGCTGTTGTAGCCATTTGGGGAGTGAACCAGAAGATGGAAGAGTTTGCTTTCTCTGTCACTCACTCACTGTGTTGCTCTGCCATTCAAACAAGTAAATCTTTAAGAAATAAAAATTATACCAGACATGAGTTTGACAAGTGGCAATATTACTGTCTAAACACAGGTGGCCTTCTGTATCCTTGGATTGAACCAAGCATGGATCAAAAATATTTGGAAGAAAATGAATTGCATCTGTACTGAACATGTGCAGTACATATCTTTTTCTTGACATTATTCCCTAAGCAATACAGCACAACGACTACATAGCATTTCCATTGTATTAGGTGTTTTAAGTAACCTAGAGATAATTGAAAGCATATGAGAGGTGCAGGGGCCTGGGCTGACGTCCCCACTGCACTCCTGATGCCAGATCCCTGTCCCTGCACATCTCGAGAGGCAGCAGTGCTGGTTCCGATAGTTGGGTCACTGCCACCCACTTAAGAGACCCAGATTGAGTTCGCAGCTCCTGGCTCCCGCTGGACCCAACCTCGGCTGTTGCTGGCATTCAGGGAGTAAACCAGCAAGTGAGAATTCTCTGTGTGTGTCTCTCTGTCTCTGTCTCTTTCTGCCTTTTAAATAAATAATAAAAATGATAAGTATATGGGAGCTGTGCACAGGTTATATTCAAATACCACAGCGTTTATAAAATATATGATTTATAAAAATAGTGTAACATATTTTGTAAATATATAATTATATTAGTAGATATATTTGATATTTGTATTTAAATATATTTGAAAATATCCTTTAAATGTAGTTATTATATAATAGCTATAATACATAAATATATAAGTAAATATGTATTTATAGAATTTATTTTATTAGCATCCTTGGATTTGGGTGTCTTGGAACAAACTCCCTGCAGATACTGTGATACAACTGCAAATAGTCTCCCTGTGCCTTGACAGCAATAGCGTTTTCTGAATACCTTATATTTCTACCTACCAAGTGCCATTATATCAATGAATTAGGAAGAAAGTATAGAAGGGTGGAAAGAGGTCAAAAAAAGTGAGAAATGAGTCCAAGCCAAGAAGAAAAATTATTCTTCCTTAGCCTGAGGACTAAGGAAGAATATTTTGAATGACTTGCAAAAAATGTATATAATATTCATCCCTGAGTATTTATTGAGCCTCTACTTGCTATCTTAAAATACAACCAAGCAAATAAAGCACATAGGAAAGGAGACATACAATGACAAAGTACCAGAATTCCTGTACAGGTGGTAAGGGCACTGGGAAGTCAAAAACGCACGGTGAGGACCAAGTGGGACTTGGCCTGGGAAGTGGCACTTGGGCTGTGTCTTGCAAACAGGATAGAAAACGCGGTCCCTTACTTCTCTCCCACCGCCTCTCTGTGACTTTATAGGAGCCTCTCTATTCTTGCCTGCATCTGTGTGAACACTTAGCCAAACGACAGCAGGCAAATTCCAGCATTACAGCAGATATCCCTGTGCCGGGGGCATGGCCTCGCCTGTTGTGTGTCGGTGAGAGTGCTCTGCACCCCTGAACTCACGCCTCTTTGTCTTCCCCAGGTTGCACATCAGAGAACCCTCATGCCTTAGCAGTCAGCCCTTTTAAAGCATTTTCTCCTCAGCCGCCAAAGTTTTTCAAACCCCTAATGCCTGTCAAGGAGGAGCATAAGAAAAGGATAGCTCTTGAAGCAAGGCCTCTTCTAAGCCAGGAGGTAAACGCTTGACTTGTCTGTACTTTGCAAACTAGAGCAGAATCGTGTTGCCTGCAGAGAAGTAGCCATTTGCATTAACGAGACGGATGCTGCATGTGGATGTGTACGGTGCCCACGCCATGGGGGCCCTTCCTCGAATGCCTCTTTTCCCAGCACGCAGGCTCGTGGTCAGAATTCTTGTTTGTTGCGACTGCTCTGGTTGTATTTGTTTGTGTCGATGACTTTCCAAGTAATTTTTGTCTTTCAAGTGACAAAAGAGATGTTCCCCTACCCATTTTGAGAATGTGAAAAGCTTTTACTTATTTTAATAAGACTAAGTATGCTTTTTTTGGCCACAGAGTCTATGTAGTCCTGTCCAGTGTCAACAGCAGTTTCACTCTGACCTTGCTAATTGGCTGCTGCGTTTCTCACACGTGATCCAAGTGGCACCATTGCTTTTCTAACGCGCTCGTACTTGAATTGTATTCCGGCCGTCCCGCCGTCTGTGTGTGATGCGTCTGTGTGTCTTAACCGTTTCAGAGCATGCCTCCATCTCAGGCACATAACCCTGGCTGCACTGTACTCTCAGGAAGCAAGGGCAGCAGCATGCCAGTAGAGCCCAGTAGCAAACGTGAGAAGAAGATTGTAAGTTCTGGAACCATTTCTCTCATATTGCCTGGTGGTGGGTGCAAGGCCCTTTCACGATCTTCCACATATTTAGAAGAAATTAAGACGTGTTGGGTCTTTGCTTTTCAATATATATATATATATATACATATTTTATACAACCCTTGGTAATGAAATTTTGCATGGATGTGGCCATGACCTGTGATTTTGTTGTTGTTTGTTTATTTATCTATTTTCCTTAGCAAAAATTTGCTTAAAAAGGGGTGGGGGGAATACACCTTTAATGATTCTGGTGCTCATTTAGGAAAAAAAATCACTTTAACTAACGCAGAAATCTTTCTAATGTTACCTATACATATTGCCTAGATTCTGAAGTTAATCTACCTAGAGGAATTGAACTTACTTGGAGTAAGTAATCATGCATTTAGCTGTGGGTGTGTTTGAAAGCGTTTTTATGCTGCCTGATGCTATTACCAAGATAACTGTAGTTTGAAACTGCCTTACCAGCCGTCATCACCTAACTTCCTCATCTCTCCAGCCTCAGGTAGCCCTTGTTAAAAAGTCCATTCCAACCCCATGGTGTCATCCTGGTTCTCAGGGTGGTCTGCCTTTATTTTGCCTCGGGTAGGGCGAAACATTTCCTATAAAAACCTCATTTCCTGGCACTTGGGTTTTTCTTTCTTTTTTGTCTCAAAAATATATTTGTTCAATTGAAAGAGTTACAGAGAGAGAGAGAGATCTTCCATCTACTGGTTCACTCCCCAGATGGCTACAAGTACCAGAAGTGGGCCATGCCAAAGCCAGGAGCCAGAAGTTCCATCCGGGTCTCCCCTGTGGATGGCAGGAGCCCAAATCTTGGGCCATTCTCTGCTGCTTTCCCAGGCCATGAGTGGAGCACTAGATAACAAGTGGAGCACCCAGGCCTCTAACTGGTGCCTATAAGGGATGCCTGCATCACGGGTGATGGCTTAACCTGCTACAACACAGCCCTGGCTCCTAGCAGCACTTAGTTTTAAAATTAAAAGCATAAAGTTTTTAAACAATATATCCCCGGAGCTGGCGCCATGGCTCACTTGGTTAATCCTCTGCCTGCAGCACCGGCATCCCATATGGGCGCCAGGTTCTAGTCCCAGTTGCTCCTCTTCCAGTCCAGCTCTCTGCTGTGGCCCGGGAGGGCAGTGGAGGATGGCCCAAGTGTTTGGGCTCCTGCACCCGCATGGGAGACCAGGAGGAGGCACATGACTCCTGGCTTCGGATCAGCACAGCACCAGCCATAGCAGCCATTTGGGAAGTGAACCAACAGAGGGAAGACCTATCTCTCTGTCTCTCCCTCTCACTGTCTGTAGTTCTACCTGTCAAAAAAAAATATATATATATATATATATATCCCTATATATTCCAGGTGCTTTAGATTATAAATTATACCTTAATTTTTTTAAAAAATGGAGAAACACCTGTGTAGTCCTAAACCTAGATAGACTTCTTGTTCTTGGCTTTCAGTTTCCTGTGGCTTCCTAGATTTTGAGAAAGTAAGGCCAGCTTGCGGGGAGAGGAGGCTGCCCCATGTTTCCATCTGCACGTGGTCTGCTGAGCGGGCAGGGTGTGGGAGTCTCATCAGCCTGCTACACGGCGTCAGATCCAGTCCTAAGTGTCATTAGCGCGAGATCTTTAACAGGATCCAAAAATATGCTGCTAACACACATGTGTGAAAACTGACTGCAGCTGACTCCGGATGTGCAGTTGGCCACTCACCTGGTGCTTGGGGTGCTGGTGGCTCCTCTGAAACGACCTCCTCATTCCCAGTGAGTGGAAAAAAGCAAGAGCACCCTCTCCCTGCAGTTCTCTGTCCTTCGTCCCCTCCCCAGACTTTAGGCTCTCCCTGTCTCTTACCCCAAAGCCTCCATTCTGGCTCCTGATGGAGAAGAAGGTGCATCTCAACAGCTGCTCTCTCATCCCCAAATGTTTGTTTTTGTTTTTTAAGGGACAGACAGACCAACTAAAAAACAGATCTCCCATGCTCTGGTTCACTCCTCAAAAACCCATAACAACTGGAATTAGGCCAGCCCAAAGCCAGAGCCTGGAACACAATCCAGGTCTCCCATGTGGGTAGCAGGAACCCCGTTAGTTGAGGCATCACTACTGCCTCCCAGGGTCTGCGCTGGTAAGAAGCTGGAATCAGGGCATGAATCTGGCACACCTAGACACTCCAGTATGGGGCCTGGACATTTTAACCAGCCAATGGCCAATGGCCCGTGCCCATCCCCAGTTCTCAATGAACTGCTGAGTCGCTCACCTGGTTAATAAGGGCTAAATGGCACCCTTCAAATTCTCTGGCTCTTCCCTGGAGTGGAACTGTCTGTTTATTGATGTGACACTTAACCACCGTGGGGCAAAGGCACTGAATTCAATCACACCATGACAATTCATTTTGCCACAACACAATCCAGACACTACTGGGCCACCTTCTGAGCTGTCCAGCAGGTAGTTTCACAGGGCACATATGGGCTTGCCTCATAGTTAGAAATAGTTCCTTCATTTCCCTCTTGGGACCTTCAGCCAACAGAAGGTGGGATGGAAGCAGATTGTCTCGACCCGCCACGTCTCTGCAGCAGTTAGACCCTGTGCAGCCGAGTGCGCCGTGAGGTACACTCAGCAGGGCTTACTGGCCCCGATCTTTACCGGGTCTTCTGTGGGGGAACCGCTATTTCTGCCTCTGCTGTCCTTAGAAGACTGGCTGGGTGAGGGTCCTTCACCTCTGAGGCTGTTGGACTGATTCATTTACTGCAGGTAGCTGTTCTCCTGCATGTCCCAGTGCTTTGCTTGTTTGATCTGAGAGTCTAGTTAGTGTTTCTTTGGGAAGCTTTAATTGTACGTCCTTTCTTATCGATGAATGGAACCATTTTCTTCCTTTGTTCCTAATTGACTTTTTTTCTTCCACTCTTAAGAAAAAAATTCAGAGTGGGTCAGTGATTCAGACTGATCAGGGAGTTTGCAACCATTCTTGTGAAGTAGTGTTCAGACATTATTCCTGTTACTTTTTTTTTTTTAGCCTACTAACCATGGTAAATTTGGTAATTTCACTTAAAACATAGTAAATATAGCCATGCTTGATTTTTAGAGCTCTATTTTGCTTGGTCAGTTTAGGAAGATATATAGACATACTTGGTGTCTTGCATAAATAAGATAGTCACAACACTATGCCTCTGAAATCTTTTTCTGCCATGAAGTATGGAGAACACAGGAAGAAAAGCAGTCATTCCAGTATCCACGTGACCCCTCCCTTAGGCCTTGCATAGACAACATTCAGAGTTGTCCTCTCCTTTTACAAAACAATGTTCTAGAATGTTACATGACTTGCTCGAGGACTCACAGCTAATGAGGGTGGAAGAACCAAGGCTCCATCGTTCAGCAAAATTGGGCCAACTCCAATAACTCCAGGTGCTTCCCAAGACAGTGCAGGTCCAACACACTTATTGTCCTAAACGGGTCACGACAGAAGTCCCTGGAACCCATGGCTGCTGCCCTCCTTCTGAGAACAGACCTTCCTGGGGAGAGCACACATCTGAGTATGGTGGGAGTGGGAACTGCATTAATCAAGTGACTCTCCTTACAGAGTCACTGCTTTAATGTGGGCTTTGATCCCTTTTTTGTTCTTTTTTAAATACTTATCTATTTGTTTGAGAGTCAGACTTGGAGAGAGAGAAAGATTTCTTCCATCCATTGGTTCACTCCCCAGATGGCCACAATGGTCAGGGCTGAGCCAGGCCAAAGCCAGGAGCTTTCATCCAGGTCTCCCACATGGGTGACAGGGACCCAATCACTTGGGCCATCTGCTGCTGCTTTCCCATGTCATTAGCAAGGGGCTGTACTGGAAGTGGAGCAGCCAGGACACAAAGCAGTACCCATCTGGGATGCTAGCATTGCAGGTGGCAGCTTTACCCGCTACTCCACAATGCCGGTCCCTTGATCTCTTTATTTAAGTCAAGGTGTTTTGTCTATAGGTAAATACCAACTATGTAAGTTAAATCACAAAATTCAAATGAAGATGTAGCTATTAAGCAGCTTGAGAACTGGGCTCCATTCTCCACTTTTGGGTAGGATTTGAATTCTGTTCATCCTTAAGAAATTGTAGGAAGTTGCTTAGTTTAGTCTCCTTCAAGATAAATGAGGCTTCAGCTATAAAAAGTCTCAAACTACCTCAATGTAAATGTCAACCCAGCTAAGTGCAACTCCTTTTATCTCCTTGAAGGCCATAACTTAGTAAACTTTCAGTCTGCTTTAAATGTCAGAAAATATTTAATCCCAACTCAGTTTTCTGTTCCCTGAAATACATTGTTCCTACTCTTTTAGCCTCTGTCTCTCTTTGGGTCTTTGAGTCATTCCCTCCACCTCCCCCAACATGCATGACTGTATACTGGCCCCTGTTCCAACTTAATCCTTATCGGGGCTTTGTAGACTCTGCAGTTTCAGGAAGGCCGTGCTAAGCTTCAGGAGTTTGGTTTGTTGGGTTTTTTTTTTATCTTTGTAAGTTTGCTAAATTTACACACATTTCTACTCATGACTCACGATTGACTATTCCATTCAGCACAGGCCTTTCCTAAGTCTTGAGAAGAAATAACTTCAGGCATGAAAAGGGCCCCAATCCCTAATTCTCATCATCAAATTTGGTTTTCATCATAACAAGTAACTCTGTGGTAATTAAGTGCACCTGGGCCCCTGCAACCCATGTGGGAAACCCAGATGGAGTTCTAGGCTCCTGACTTTGGCCCAGACAAGCCCTGGCCATTGCAGCCATTTACGGGTGACTGGCAGATCTCTCTCTCTCTCTCTCTCTCTCTCTCTCTCTGTAACTCTGCTTTTCAAATAAATAAATCTTTGAGAGAGAGAGAAAGATCTTCCACCAACTGGTTTGCTCCCCAAATGGCTGCAGCAGGATGAAGCCTGGATTCAGGAACTCCATCTGTATCTCCCATGAAGGTGACAGGAACTCAAGTAGTTGAGCCATCATTTGCTGGGTGTGGGAGGAGGAAGGGTTGAATCTCAGGCAGTCCCATATGGGATGCAGGGGTCCCAAGCAGCAAGCTTAACCCATTGCACCACAGTGCTTGCCCCAGAATTTTGTTCTTTGCTACAAACACTTGAAATTCAGGTTTGAATATACACATAACAAACAGAGAACTGACTCAGACAGCTATGCTCCATCTTTGTTTCTTTACTGACATCCCAGGGAAAGAACACCCCACCGCACCCACTTATTGTAAACAGTGCTGCTTAATTTAGAATGCAGCTAAGGGCAAAATGACAAGAGGTTATTGTGGCCCATGATTTTAATTTTCTAAGTTCAGGAGCTTTATCACCATTTGATATTTATCGAGTAATAGCCAAGGACTCAAAACTACTGATTTCTTTATATTCAAATGTTTATATATTTAATTTACTAAGTTGTAAACTAAATTGTTTTTAAAACTTAGAAGCATTAAAGAGTATTAAACTACTTTTGAAATGTTTAGCATCTCATGAGATGCAAAAGAAATATCACTATAAAATTTAACAGATGGAATGTATGTTCATTTGTGAACAACCAGTAGGCACATTGTGAAGACCTACCTTGCCCTCAGATGCATTCATTCTCTGTCTCTGTCTCTCTCAAAAGGTAACCTTAGTGAATAAAGCTGATGTTTCAGTTCTAGGTTTTTTAGTCACCCAGGACCCAAAGGCAAAACTGCATGGGGCAAGGACCGTGCCTCTCTGCTCACTGTTGGTATTCCCAGGCCACTGGCTGGCCCTTAGCACTTGCTTAATGAAAATGTGCATTGAATGAGTCACCTTAAAAAAAAAAAAAAAAAATGTATTTCTTTGAAAGGTAGAGTTACAGAGAGGGAGCGGCAGAGACAGAGAGAAGTCTTCCATCTGCTGGTTCACTTCCCAAATAGCCACAACAGCCAGAGGTAGGCCAGGCCAAAGCCTGGAGCCAGGAGCTTCATCCAGGTCTCCTATGTTTATACAGAGGCCCAAGGACTTGGGCCACCCTCTGCTGCTTTCCCTGGCATATCAACAGGGAGCTAGATTGGAAGTGGAGTAGCCAGCATTCAAACCAGTGCCTTCGAACCAGTGTCTGTATGGGATGCCAGTGCTGCAGGCACTTAACCCACTATGCCACAGCACTAGCCCCAAAAGTCACCTTTTTTTATTTTTTTTAAAGATTTATTTATTCATTTATTTGAAAGTCAGAGTTACACAGAGAGAGAGAGGTCCTCCATCCACTGGTTCACTCCCCAGTTGGCTGCAACAGCTGGAGCTATGCCGATCTGAAGCCAGGAACCAGGAGCTTCCTCCAGGTCTCCCACGCAGGTGCAGGGGCCCAAATACCTGGGCCATCTTCCACTGCTTTCCCAGGCCATAGCAGAGAGCTGGATTGGAATTGGAGCAGCCCAGTCCACATGGAATGCCGGCACTGCAAGTGGTGGCTTTACCTGCTACACCACAGTGCTGGCCCCTAAAAGTCACCTTTTTTAAAAAAAGATTCATTTATTTGAAAAGCAGAGTGACACAGACAGAGGGAGTGACAGGAGAGAGGGGGTGAGCAGGAGGGGGAGACAGAGAGATTCAAAGATTGATCTTCCATCCCCTATTTCATTCCTCAAATAGCTACAATGACAGGGCTGGGCCAAGCCGAGGCCTGGAGCCTGGAACTCCATCCCAGGCCCCCACACATACACAATGGCTGAAGATTGTGAGAACAAAGGAGGGTGTGACTCCTCTGTGCTTCTGGCTGTCCCTGTACACACTTAAGGAAAAAGAGGAAATGTCACAACTGGAAGCTAATCATGCGTAATTAAAAGGCCACCACACATCAGTGTCAGCCTTTCTCTTCAGCTTGGGGAGAAAAGGTTTCTAATTACTATTGAGTAGGAACAAACATCCCTCCCAATAGGTGATAATGGGCTTATGTTCACAGGTCTCAGAATAATACACCCATGTTTACAATAAGTGACAAATTTGACCCAACTGGGAAAGAAAAAACAAAACCACGATCCTGCAAATGTGAATGCATGTAATAGCAAATCATTTAAAGCTTGACTCAGCAATGCAGCGGCAGTCGGGAGCTAACACTGACGTGTGCTTCGTTTCCGTAGGACTCTGAGGAGGAAGAAAATGAACTGGAAGCTCTCAACCGGAAGCTGATCAACTCGCAGCCTTACGTACCGGTGGAGTTTGCTGACTTCAGTGTTTACAATGCCAGCCTGGAGAACAGGGAGTGGTTTTCTTCCAAAGCAGACCTGACCAGCTCCCGGGTCTTAGAGAAAGAAGTGTCCCGAAGCCCTACCACCAGCAGCATTACCAGCGGCTACTTCTCCCACAGTGCCTCGAACGCCACTCTCTCTGACATGGCGGTCCCTTCCAGCGACAGCTCCGACCAGCTGGCCCCTCAGACGAAGGATGCAGACTGCAGTGAGCACCCTGGACCGGCGCTCGCGCATGACTTCAGACCATCCTCGAGCAAAGGGTCCGCAGAAGCCGAAAGAGGCTCGGTAAAGGACAAGATAATCACGGTGCCGCTCAAGGAAAACAGTGCCTTAGCCAAAGGGAGCCCATCGTCCCAGCCCGTCCCTGAGAAAAACTCCAAAATGCTGCATAGGACTGGCTCATGTTCAGAACTGGATGGCTGCCCCAGTAAAAATGGCCCCCCAGCCAGAGTGTTCTGCCCCAGGGAGGTGACCATCGAGCACACCACAAACGTCCTGGAGGATCATTCTTTCACAGAGTTCATGGGGGTGTCGGACGGAAAAGATTTTGACGGGTCGACAGATTCTTCTGCGGGGGAGCTTTCAAGTAGGAGGAATCTACCCAATAAAGCAGACAGTGAGCGTGTCCCCGATGGGCCACACGACGCCGGCCAGCTGCATTCCAAGCCAGAGAATGATCCGGTAATGCATTCCCGAGGCAGCCCCGTGGGTTCTGTGCTGTTGGGGAGCACATGTCACTGTACCCCCAGCCCCAGAGGTGCTTCACCAGTGACCTAGCGGGAAGGAGTCAGTCAGAGGTTCCCACCGGGATGGTGGGCCCTCTGGGGGGCAAGCTCGCTTCCTGCCCTGCTGACTCCTTGTGGGAGCACAGCTCTGCTTTGGGACCAGAGTGGGAGCCATAAAATCTGTAAGACCGTCGGATATTTTAGCTGGCTTATGGGCTGGTGTTCAGTGTTCAGGTGAATAGGAGTCAGTCTCTTATTCATTCCCTGAGACTTAGTTCTTAGCTACCCCAAAGTGATCTGGTAACCTTGACCGTATTTCATTAAATCCAGTGATTCCCTTATTAGATGCTCCATCATTTTATTTATTGGTAAGAAGCAAAAATCACTGCCAGTTAAGCCATATCCCATCAGCCATTGTAAGGCACAGCCCAGTTTCAGAGATGTTTAAGTGTGAGGGAGCTTGTGTAGCATACAGCTAAAGAGAGAATGTGGTGCCCATCAAGGAAAACTGCTCGGCCAGGGGGGCGACTATAGACTAATTCCCTGAGCAACTGAGGCTTTAGCTTTGGGAATTGGGTTGGTTTATAATGGTCATTAATTTTCGTATTGGAACAAAGTGGATTTCTGCTAATTTCCTAAGGAAAGTAGCACTTTCTTGTATAAATAAGATTGCACCCCTCTGAGTATTCTGTTCCTAAGTTCTGAAACCGGTTTGCTTGTCAATATTTCTGAAATTAATAAGCTCTTGCCACAAATTCAGAGAATTCTGAATACAGGCTCAAATAGACCAGGCAGCATGGTGAGTTTTTTAAGCTTTGTGTTTAGTGAGAGAAATGCATAGGGGAGTGAGGGCTTTAGGGAGAAAGAGAAGTCCGGAAATTAAGTTGGGGTCCATACCGAGCAGACAGCAGGCCAGGAGCCTCGTGCAGCAAGTGTTTGGTTATGAGCAGCCACCAGCAGCTTAGCATGAGAAGGCCATTTATCCATTTCCAAAGGGGAGTGGTTAATTAGTCTGATTGGCAGGGGGCATTCAGGTGTGATCAGGTAGGGGCATGAGATCCACAGGGTGTGGTCTTCCAGCTCACAAATCTAATCAGTTGTATCCTGTCTGTCTGCCTACATCAGTTTCACCACTTATTCCCATTCACATTCACTTTTTTGGTCCCACACCTGTGTTAGGAGATGGGCGAGAGCCAGGGTCAGCAAAGCCAAGGGCTGGCAGAGTAGAAAGCAGTGTAGCGAAGGGTAAGGTGACCACAGTGACGCTCTATCCATTCCCCTGCTAAGGAGTTTTTCCAGGGCAGCTTCCCGCCAAGCTCTCCCTGCTGCTTTCGGTACTAACCCTTGGAATTTCAGCATGTGGTCTCATCGTTTATATAGCATGCACATAAAAAAAAATCTGTCATGCCAAACACCATGATCTCTGACTAGGAAAAGACGTTCCCATTAGAAGAAGTCACTCTTTGCTTGCATTTATTCTTGTAAGCAAAACACGTATTTGCTGAAAAGTCTTCAACTTCCTTCCCCCTGATCCTGAAATACAATCTGCATGGTTGGCCCTGCATCAGATTTTCAGTGATTCTTAGAGAAAGCCAATGTCAAAGCCTCTTACTTCTTCACCCTAAGAATTCAGTTTACTTTTCCAAACCTAAATGTGCAACAGACCCACTGGGAGCTGCCTGAGAAGCTGCCTCTTAAAACTTCCAGTCCCTAGGAGTCGCCGCTGTCCTCCATAAGATTTTGCCTCAAATAGGATGGCGCAGAGGAAATAAGGTTTTCACAAACCCCCAGTGGTAAAGCAATGAGCAGTAAGGTGTAAAAGAGAAACAGGGCCCAGAGAAGAGAGAAGGGCTGCGGCCCTCTCTTGTTTCATTGTCTGGATTTAGAAGCTAACAAACAGGAGCAGTTTAGCTCTCAGAAGTTTCCAGAATGCTGAGTCCCTGCCAAAGATCTTGATTTAAAAGTAGAATTTATGAAAATGTTTGTTATATCAGGATGGTAAGATTATGGCGATTTTTCCTTTTTAAAAATTACTTTGGTATTTTTGTTATGTTGTTTTTAATGAGTTGTTTAATAATTCAGACTAAAGTTTGACTTTTGTTCTAACACTGAAGTGATTTAGAGTGTGACTCAAGAAATGGCTTTTTTTTTTTTTTCAAACCCACTGAGTGTCGCTGTCATGACTTTTCCTGGAAACTCCACCTGGAGGCTCAGTTTTTCCCTGGTGTTCTGTGGATTCCAGAACTGGGTTCCATGATAAACCCAATCCTGTGGGTCCCTTTGGGAAGAACTCCTTGCCCCTTTCACGGGTGGGCCCTGTGGATGGGGTGGGGAGGTGGGAACAAGAACCTTGGACTCACCAGCCTCTGCGTTCCAGGGAGACACGACTGCACGGTGAAAGGTGCACACACAGCCTCCTCCACAGGCCACAGCTTGGTGTCTTTGTTCACCTGGTCGCCTTGGGAAAGCACCCGCCCCATCTTTCAAACATGCTGCGGCCCAGCCTGACCTCAAACCAGCACCGGCCAAGAAGCTGTGCACCTCCTGGGCCGCCCCTGTCGACCTCCCAAATGGGAGAAGCAGCACTTTGTTTTCCAGAAAGCAAGAGACTGAAAGTCCTGGATGAACTGACAGTATTTGTGTTTGCACTTACTACACACCCCTACTGTGTAGAAACCTCTACAGATTCCAAGAAACTGTATTCTTGTACAGTTTTAATCCATTCTTACTGTAGAATCTGGAGTCATACTCTAATTGATTGTTTTTATAAATAATATATATTATGTATATGAAATGTGTATCTATAGTGTGTCTGGAAACAGACAAGGCTGCACACTAAAATGCAGATAAAGGTGATTTGTAGAAAATCATTAGGTACTGGTCTTTGTTACAAAGCCTCTTGGGCATCTCTTATATACGAGTAGATGAAAAATATTTTATTGCCTAAGACTGAGGTTGCAAATCCCTCCTTGCAGAAACGATTACAGATGCTGTTCTTTATAACCAAAGAACTTACATAGGACTGAGCATTTCCGCTGTCCACTCTGGTCTTCTGTGAACATATGTGTTTGACTGCAAGTTTGGTGCCACTTTTCCCTTGGCCACCAAGCCACGTGCTGCTGTTCTCTGTCTTCAGTTTCCTAAGCGCACTGAGAAATCTCACAGCTCGTATCCTCTGGTCTTCCACCGGGCCCATCACCTGCCTTCTGGACACTGCATAATAACCGCTGGCGGTGCGAGGGCTCCCACTCCAGCCTTTCCTACACCCAGTCCGGCCCAGTGGGCAGGGCAGCACAGACAGCAGTATTACTGTAAGAACACACAGTAATGGGGAGGGGCTCGGAGAGGGGCTCCTGATTTGGGGTGTTGTTTTTTGTGGTTTCGTTTTGGATTGGTAGGTTTGTTGTGGCGTGGTTTTGCTGTTGTTATTTTGCTTGGCTCTGGAAAATGCTAAAGAGACGGACTGAGCTATAAAACCCACTGGCTCATGCTTCACAGTGTTTGCAGGAGATGCTTGAATACAGATGATCCTGCTGACTCACAGATGCAGACGCTGAAGGATTATGCGTGTGGACATTTTTACGGAAGTCCTTTCTGTACCTACTCGGTAGATGCCTGTCCAGTTGGTCTGGATGTGTAGCTCTAAATGTGTTGTGAGCACCAGGATGAAAGAATACGTACAGCTTGCTGTACCTTTTTTCTTCAAGTTCTTAGCATTGGTAAATGAGTAAGGTATTGGAGACTTTAATGAAAAGCTGCTGTTCATGGATTTTGTATATAGTGAGCTGACTGTAGTATTTTACTATTGTCTGTTAAAAAAAAAAGAAAAACTGTAATTTATATCCCTTTCAACGTTATTGTATTTAATTGGTACTGATTTGTTTGAGTGTGTGTGTGTGTGTTTAGAATACAGAATGTCTAATTCAGATTTTAAAACATCCACTGTTTGTCTTTAATAACCCTGCCATTAGTTCCAGGTCTCATTTACCATGCTTGCAAGTGTGCATGTCCCATCATGTCAAAAGGTAATGTCAGCTAACCTTTACTGAGGGTTTACTGTGTACTAGTTACTGTCCCAAACATTTGCTGTTTCTTATGTCATTTAATTCGCACAGCACCAGGTGTCATAGGTACTGTTGTTATTAAGCATGTGACAGATGGAAAACAGGCAGAGAGGTTAGTGCCCGAACAGAACAGTGGCACAGCCAGGATTTAGCCCACGCTTTATCTGTCCCCTCTGTGTTGCACCTGGTGATGTGTCGGGGGGCCTCTGGAGGAGTGACGACCTGCACAGAACAGAAGGCTCGCAACTGAGTATCACAAGCTCCTAACTGGCCAGCATGCCGTGGCGGCAGGGGTGGGGCGGGCTTGTGTGCTGGAGCAGGTGCGATGTGTTCTCGGTGATTAAGTGACTCTTTATGGTAAGTACCAGTGACCTACCACCTGTGGAAGAGTGGGGAAAGGTAGCTCACTGTGAAAGTTTTTTTTAAAGATTTATTTATTTTAAAGTCATGTTACAGAGAGGGAGAGATACATATATATAGAGAGAGAGCTACCATCCACTGGTTCATTCCCCCAAACAACCATAATGGCCAGGACTGGGCCAGACTGAAGACAGGAGCTTCATCTGGGTCTCCCACATGGGTGGCAGAGGCCCAAACTCTTGGGCCATCTTCTGCTGCTTTTCCCAGGCCCTTAGCAGGAAGCTGAGTCAGAAGTGGAGCAGCCAGGACACAAACCAGCGCCCAGATGGGATGCCGGCCCCGAAGGCAACAGTTTAAACTGCTACACCACAATTCCAGCTTATCTAAAAACAATATGGCCAGTGCCATGGCTCACTAGGCTAATCCTCTGCCTGCGCTGCCGGCACCCTGGGTTCTAGTCCCGGTTGGGGCACCGGGTACTAGTCCCGCTTGCTCCTCTTCCAGCCCAGCTCTCTGCTGTGGCCCGGGAGGGCAGTGAAGGATGGCCCAAGTGCTTGGGTCCCTGCACCCGCATGGGAGACCAGGAGAAAATACCCAGCTCCTGACTTTGGATTGGAGCAGCGCTGGCTGTAGCGGCTATTAGGGGAGTGAACCAACGGAAGGGAAACCTTTGTCTCTGGCTCTCTCTTACTGCCTAACTCTGCCTGGCAAAAAATAAAAAAAACATTTTTTAAATAAAAAAAAACAATGTTACTACAGAGTCTTTTCAGGAAAATCTCAGCCTTTCTGAACTTATTAAGAATGAGGTCTAATTCTAAACAGAAGAGTGCCTTGAGTCAACTTGTGGAGGGGGGTGGGCAGGAAGGAGGCGGGTAGCATTGAGTCATCCCAAAACGTATTTTGAATTTTAAAGTATGAAGAGGCAAAAAAGCTATTTGATTTTTAAAGGAATAATTACAACTAAAAAAATACAGTGCAGAAAAAAAATCATCATTTCCTGTACTGAGTGCTGACATTGTCATATGACTGAGAGAACAAACTGGCTTTAGGACATAATTTATTGGGTGGATAGATGTAGGCTTGAGTTTAACAGTTAATTTCCAAAGTACAGTATTTCCCGTGTCATCACACTTGTTTATAGTCATTTGGATATAGTCTTTTTCTCATAACAAAAATATAGCCATGTGTTTCTATGGCACCAACAAATAGCTACAAAATATACCTTTAAGCATTAGGTAAGGGCAAAATACTATCTTCTACCAAATGTTAGCAGTCCATCCAATAGATAATTTTAAAATTACAATACTCAAGCTTTACAAGAATGTTGGGAGGAAAAAGCAACTAATAATAACATGATTAAGCTTAACTTAAAAGTGAAGTTTCTGTTTGTATAATGAACAAATATTGAACTCCAAATAGCTGAAGCAATCTTATACAACAAAAACAAAACCGGAGGTATCACAATACCTGATTTCAGGACATACTACAGGGCAGTCGGCATCAAAACAGCCTGGTACTGATACAGAAACAGATGGATAGACCAATGGAACAGAACAGAAACAACAGACATCAATCCAAACTTCTACAACCAACTTGTCTTTGATATAGGAGCTAAAATCAATCCCTGGAGCAAGGACTGTCTCTTCAACAAGTGGTGCTGGGAAAACTGGATCTCCACATGCAGAAATGTGAAGCAAGACCCCTACCTTATAGTGTGTACAAAAATCCACTCAAAATGGATCAAAGACCTAAGTCTATGACCCGATCCCATTAAACTGTTAGAGAACATTGGGGAAACCCTGAAAGACATTGGCATAGGCAAAGAATTCTTGGAAAACACTCCAGAGGCACAGACAATCAAAGCTAAAATTAACAAATGGGATTACATTAAATTGAGAAGCTTCTGCATGGCTAAAGAAACACTCAGCAAAGTGAAGAGGCAAACTATGCAACTGATAAAGGATTAATAACAAGAAAATATAAAGAGATCAAGAAACTCAACAACAACAAAAACCCAGTTAAGAAATGGGCAAAGGACTTAACATTTTTCAAAAGAGAAAATCCAAATGGCCAACAGACACATGAAAAAATGCTCAAGATCACTAGCTCTCAGGGAAATGCAAATCAAAACCACAATGAGGTTTCACTCCACCCCAGTAAGAATGGCTTTCAAACAGAAATCAACAAACAACAAATGCTGGCGAGGATGTGGAGGAAAAGGTACCCTAATCCATTGTTGGTGAGAATGTAAACTGGTTCAGCCACTGTGGCAGACAGTATGGAGATACCTCAGAAATCTGAATATAGACCTACCATATGACCCAGTCATCCCTCTCCTGGGAATTTACCCAAGGGAAATGAAATCGCATATGAAAGAATTATGAGTACCCCTTGTTCATTGCAGCTCAATTTGCAATAGCTAAGACATGGAATCAATACAAATGCCCATCAGCTAAAGACTGGATAAAGAAATTATGGGATATTTATACCATAAAATACTACACAGTGATTAAAAAGTGAAATCCTGTTTGCAACAAATGGATGAAACTGGAAAACATCACACTTAGTAAAATAAGCCAGTCCCCAAAGGACAAATACCGGGACTGGCGCTGTGGCATAGCCAGTGAAGCCACCAGTTCAAGTCCCGGCTGCTCTACTGCCAACCCAGCTCTCTGCTATGGCCTGAGAAAGCAGTAGAAGATGGCCCAAGTTCTTGGGCCCCTATACCTGTGTTGGAGACCTGGAAGAAGCTCCTGGCTTCAGATCAGCCCAGCGCTGGCCATTGCAGCCATTTGGGGAATGAACCAGTGGATGGAAGACCTCTTTCTCTCTCTGCCTTTCAAATAAGTGAATAAATCTTTTAAAAGGGGGGGAGGGGAACAAATACCATATGTTCTCCCTGACTTGTGAAAACTAATAGAGCACCTAAAAGTTATTCTATAGAAGTGAAATTGACATTTTGAGATGTATTGATTTTGAACAGCCCTTGCCTCAACTGTGGAAGAACAGTATTTTTTTTTTTTTCATAATATTTGTTGAAATCTTTACTTAACGTAGAGTTAATCTTATGTGTATAAAGTTAACTGAAAATAGATCTTGGTGCCGGCGCCGCGGCTCAATAGGCTAATCCTCCACCTAGCAGCGCCGGCACACCGGGTTCTAGTCCCCAGTCGGGGCGCCGGATTCTATCCCGGTTGCCCCTCTTCCAGGCCAGCTCTCTGCTGTGGCCCGGGAGTGCAGTGGAGGATGGCCCAAGTGCTTGGGCCCTGCACCCCATGGGAGACCAGGAGAAGCACCTGGCTCCTGGCTTCGGATCAGCGCGGTGCGCCAGCACAGCGCGCCAGCCGTGGTGGCCATTGGAGGGTGAACCAATGGCAAAAGGAAGACCTTTCTCTGTCTCTCTCTCTCTCACTATCCACTCTGCCTGTCAAAAAAAAAAAAAATAGATCTTGGTAAAAAAAAAAAAAAAGGAATACGAGAGGGCAGAGGAAGAAGGATGGCGATGCAGGCAGGTATGGTGGGGGAAATCACTATGTTCCTAAAGTTGTATTTATGAATTGCATCAAGTCTGTATACCTTAAATAAAAGTTTTGTTTTTGTTTTTGTTTTTGTTTTTTTTTTTTGAGCAGGGGGTAGAAAATGTCTTGGAAAAAGCTGTAATTGAATAAGACTTCTTGTTTGCTTTTTTCCTGGACCAACAACTAAAAAGAGAAAGGTTTGCTGCTGGCACACAATCATACAGAAAACTTTCTGTATTCAGCCTTGAACTTCCTATAGTAACACCAGCACACCTGCTCTTCTGCACTGTTGGGCCCACCTCCCAAGTTAAAATAGCAACAACAGCAAAAGAACATATCCCAGAAGCAGGCATTTAACCTGGCTGTGAAGACACCACATTCCCTCTCGTAATACCTGGATTTGATTCCTGCCTCCAGCTTCCTGCTAACCACACCCTAGGAGGCAACAGTTGTTTTTCCCTTTGGGAGACTCACTGGGTGCCTGGCTCTCTGCACTCCTCTAAGATGAGCTGAAGAACATGCTTCAGTGCCTCATATTTTGTAATCTGAACCGAGCTGGCCAACTTGGAACTTTCAGTGGGTTTCTCAAGGCTTGAGTCCTTGAGGGTCCCTGGATATGAAGGCGTTGACAGGCTGATTAATAGAACCATGACTGTTGTACCAAGAAACAGGCAAGTGTTGACATTCGAGTTTTGGGAAGAGAAGATGAGTTTGGAGGAGTTGAATTCAGGCTTAGTCTCTGATCTCTCAGGAGGTTGCAGGCAGAGGTCAGCCAGAGCTGTAGTCAGCTGAAGGCTTTGTGGGGGCCAGATGGATTCTCCATGAGGGTGGTTCACTTACACAGCTGGTGTGCTGGTGCCTGCTCGCCAGGCAGGCCTCTGGTGTTCTCACAGCATGGTGCTGTCTTTTCCAGTGTGTTTGTCCAAAAGTGCAAACAGTAGCCACGTGTCTCTCTATAGCCCAGTCTTGGAAGTCACACGTGGTCACTCCCATCAGATTCTGTTCAATAGAAGTGAGGTGTGAAGGTCAATCGTCCATGAAAGGCAAGGGGAGTTAGGCTGTTCCCTTTGAAAAGCCGGCTGTCACAGGGTCTGTAGGCACATTTCTAAGCCACCGTGACTGGTTAGAAGCTCTGAAGCCATGGGGCAGAGCTAAGCTAACTGGAACCCCTCGGCAAATATAGGAATCCAGTTTTTTAATTCATAGCTTCATAAAGAGCAGGGTCAAAATCAAAGCCAGGGGTTGACACTGTGATTCAGTGGGTTAAGCTTCTGCCTGCAAAGCTGGCATCCTATGAGTCCCAGTTCAAGTCCTGGCTACTCCACTTCCCACCCAGCTCTCTACTGATGCACAGGTGGCCCAAGTGGTTGAGGCCCTGTCACCCACATGGGAGACCCAGAAGAAGCTCCTGGTTCCTGGCTTCAGCCTGACCCAGTGCTGACCTTTGTGGCCATCTGGGGACTAAATCAGTGGACAGAAGATCTCTTCCCTCACCCCACCCTCGCTGTGTGTGTGTGTGTGTGTGTCTACCTCTCTGTAACTGTGACTTTCAAATAAAATAAGCAAATATTTAAAAAAAAATACTCCCACAACTGTCAAAGACGACAAAACAGGAAACGTCTGAGATACTATCACAGCCAACAGGTGCCTGAAAGTCTCTACATTTCATGTAGCCATTGTAACGTGATGTCCAGGACGGGATCCTGCAACAGAAATGGAATGTAGGTGAACACTGAGGAATTCTAAACATGCATGACTATGAATTTTAATCATATATGTGTGTGTGCATGTGTTCATAATTATATGTACATATATATATATGAGTGGACTTCAAAAAAGTCATGAACATGGAATTAAACGATTATTTTGGTGCAGAAACATTCTGAAATCCCACCCCAAATGAATGATTCTAAATTTAAAAATGTCTCTTAGGTGAGCATTTATGCTAGTGGTTAAGATGCCTACATCCCGTGTCAGACTACCTGGGGTTGATTCTCAGCTCTGACTCCTGACTCCAGCTTCCCACCAGTGCAGACCCTGGGAGGCAGTGATGATGGCTTCGGTAATTAGGTTCCTGCTATCCACCTCGGAGACCTGGACTGAGTCCCCAGCTCCTGACTTCAGCCCTGGCCCAGGCCCAGCTGTTACGGGAAATAGGGGAGTAAACCAGAATGGAAGTGTTCCCTATATGTCTCTCTATCCTAGAAGTAAAGATTTCTTTAACACTCACTTACTTGATGTAAGTAAAGTGAAAGGACTGCTGTCTCTGCTTAGAAGTTGTTTTAATGAGTTGAGACAGAAAGATGAAGCCCACTGAGGCCAGCTTTTAGACAGTATTTGTAGCACTACATAAGAAATTAAGGGGGTTGTCAATTTTGGTTAATGCTAAATGATATATTATGAAAACCATGGGAAACATGAGCATTCTGGATTAATTATTGATATTATTTCAAATCAATATCTAGGGGGCCAGTACGTGTGGTACAGCAGATTGAGACACTGTTTGCAATGCCAGCATCTCATGTTGGAGTTTCTCAATTCGAGTCCCAGCTGCTCTGCTTGTAATTCAGCTTCTTGCTAATGTGCCTGGGAAAGTAGCAGAAGATGGCGCAAGTACTCGGGCCCCTGCCACCCATGTCGGAGACCAGGATTGAGTTCTTGATTTCTGGATTCATCCTGGCTCAGACTCCGGCTCTTGTACACATTTGGGTAGTGAACCAGTGGATGGAAGATTCATCCTCTCCCTGCCTTCCCCAACCCCTCTGCCCCGTCTCTCTCCATTTCAAATAAATAAATCTTTAAAAAATAATTAGGCATAGACATATTACATGAAATTTCAGGACACCAAAGATAAATAACATTCAGAAAGAACAGATGTTAGCTACAAATTAATGACAATTAGATTAACAGCAGGCTTCTCAAACACACCAGTGGGACTCAGAAGACAATGGAAACCTGCAGTTTCTCATTGTTTAACAATTCAAGGATGAAGGCAAATAACGATTCAGGCAAAGGCTGGAAGAACTGACCACGTAGAGGCTCAGTCAGATCCCAGCAGCAGCTGCAGCAACTCTCGTCTTCCTGGCTCTTCCTTGCCAAATGCCGTCACTTCTGCAGCTATGGCCTTGGGGCTGCCCCTGATGGTATTACAAGAAGTTCCGTGACAGGTGTAGAACACTGTGCCTGAGTGAGATCAAGAGCAGCACCCTGGGGAAGGCCCAGGGGATCCTGTGGGTGAGCTCCCAGGAGGGAAAGCTTTGAGCCCCCGCAGCACCCTGCCTGGAGCACCTGGCAGCCCCAGGCCTGCCCTTTGGTGTTAGAGGCTCCCCTGCCTTCCTGCCAGACCAGTGGGGCTAGAAGATCACAGTAGGGCTGGGACAATCCCTTCAGCCCCCTCCACCCCTTGGCCATCTCCCCTCCCTCCGTCCCTGATGGTTCTGGCCTTTCCAAACCACTTTTGACCTTCTGAGTTCCCTTGAGTTGAAGCAGACCAAGTTCTGTCCAGTTTGGGTGGGTGGGTGGGGAACCTGTATCTTTTTAATGACACCCTAACTCCTCCATCTGTTCTCCTTTCCCATGATGCCACTTTCCAACCGTAGTAGCGACTCTGCTTGCATGCTTAGTTCTGTGTCTAAGTGGCATGTTGTGGGGATGACCCCTCCTGACACCAGCTGGCTGTCTTCCCGTCTCCCTTAGTCTCAGTCCCTCATGGAAGCAGGACTACTAAGAGCCATTTGATTAAACACCACACACACACACACACACACTCACTCACTAATTTTGAAAAAAGAACTTACCACCACCTATGTAGATGATTCCACTAAAGAACTATATAAGGAAATATTTCAGGAAGAAGGAAATTAAATTCAGAAGGAAGCAGTGAGCATCAAGAAAGAGTACTTGGTCAATACATGGGTAAGTTGAAACAAGCATCCACAAAATAAAACTTCTGTGGGAATTTAAAAGTGAAATAAAACTAAGATAAGGCCAACAGAAAGAGGGGACGTGACGAAGGCGTACTGGAGGGCTTGTATCATTTTGGAGGAGGCTAGAGATATCAATTTGAAGCAATTAATGTTTATATATATATATTTTTTTTTTTTTTTTGACAGGCAGAGTGGGTGGTGAGAGAGAGAGACAGAGAGAAAGGTCTTCCTTTTGCCATTGGTTCACCTTCCAATGGCCGCCGCGGCCTTTGCGCTGCAGCCGGCACACCGCGCTGATCCGATGGCAGGAGCCAGGTGCTTCTCCTGGTCTCCCATGGGGTGCAGGGCCCAAGCACTTGGGCCATCCTCCACTGCACTCCCTGGCCACAGCAGAGAGCTGGCCTGGAAGAGGGGCAACCGGGACAGAATCCGGCGCCCCAACCGGGACTAGAACCCAGTGTGCCAGCGCTGCTAGGTGGAGGATTAGCCTATTGAGCCGCGGCGCCGGCCTGTTTATATTTTTTAAAAGATTTATTTATTTGAAAGAGAGAGAGAGCTTCCATCTTCTGGTTAACTCCCCAAGTGGCTTCAATGACCAGGGCTTAGCCACGTTGAAGCCAGGAGCTTCATCCAGGTCTCCTATGAGGGGGCAGGGGCCCAAACACATGGACCATCTTCTGCTGCTTCTCCCAGGCCATTAGCAGGGACCTGGATTGGGAGTGGAGCAACCAGGACATGAACTGGCGTCCATATGGGATGCCTGCATTGCAGGCAGTGGCTTTACCCACTACACCACGACACTGGCTCCATGTTTAAATTTAAAATTAGTTACTAAACAATTTAAAAGAGGAAATATAATGCATTAGATTCTAAATGAATATGAGGGATGAGAAATCCAGATAACAGAACCATCTATCAGAAGACAAGAATGGAGGGGGGAAAGCAGAACAGAGAAAAAGAGGAAGAGCAGAATGAGCCAAATACAAATGTAAAAACAAATCTAAGTAAATCCACAATCACAATACAAGTAGGTAGTAGTAGACACCATTCCACCCCACCCCACCCCACCCCCCAGGTATTTTTTCTCAAAGACTCTGCTGGTGACATGAACGTAGGGAGAAGCAGGTGCAGGAAGCAGTGACATTCTGAACATAAAATAGTGGTGGGGGGTGGGGAGGAGGGCTGAGTTCCCCCATATTCAGTTCCAAGGTGTTCACTGATTTCCGTGCGCTCACTCACTGCGCCAAATGAGAACCAGGCCTCAGAGTTTCCCTTCTCTGCAGAATAAACCTCTGAACTCCTCCTGAGCTGCAGGAGAGTCCCCTTCCCAGCTGCCCAAGGTAGGTGACAACTGGGAATCCACAGGTGTGTCCCCAGGCTCTGCCCCCGCTCCCTGCTCCCGTCCTGGGGCCACCCTCCAGCTTTCCTCAATACTGGGAGCCTCCTTGTAGTGCTCACGTGTTGTCCCAATGTTCTCTCCTGCTCCTCAGGTTGTCCTTTCGCTCTTTTCTAATTGCTTTCCCTCTCGCACAGCTGGGAGAAAAATCTTTTGTCCTCTGTGGTCAGCCTTTCCTTTCCTTCTCCCCGGTGATTGCATGTCTTTTAATCCACGTACCACCACATATGATGTGTTTGGGTTAGGAGGAGTGCAAGTGTGTGATTAATCTGCCGTATTGAACAGGAGCCCTTGACAACTCGTTCTATCCTTCACTTCCACCTCGAACCCTAGGAACCCTTGAAAGCCAAGTGCAAATAATTGGAAGCACTGTGGAATACCAGAGGGCTTTGAATTTTATGCGACCTTCAGCATGTGGATCAAAGCATGAGGTTCTCATGGAGATACATTAAAGTTTGCTTTCACAGCATAAATCTTGAACATTCAGAGCTTTGAGGAGGTCACAGATCATAGGAACTCTAGTGTCAAGCCTGCCATATTAGAAAATTCCAATACCCGTCAGCTCTGCTTTGTCCTTGCCACTTCTCTGTCATACTGGTGCTGTCCATCCTTTTTTTTTTTTTTTTTTTTTTTTGGACAGGCAGAGTGGACAGAGAGAGAGAGAAAGGTCTTCCTTTGCCGTTGGTTCACCTCCAATGGCCGCCGCGGCCGGCGCACCGCACTGATCCGATGGCAGGAGCCAGGTGCTTCTCCTGGTCTCCCATGGGGTGCAGGGCCCAAGCACTTGGGCCGTCCTCCACTGCACTCCCTGGCCACAGCAGAGAGCTGGCCTGGAAGAGGGGCAACCGGGACAGAATCCGGTGCCCCGACTGGGACTGGTAGAACCCAGTGTGCCGGCGCCGCAAGGCGGAGGATTAGCCTAGTGAGCCGCGGCGCTGGCTCCTTTTTTTTTTTTTTTTTTTTAATTATTTTTTTTTTTGAAAGAGCTACAGACAGTAATGAAGAGACAGCTTTGGGTAGAAAGAGAGAGAGATCTTCATCCACTGTTTCACCCCCCCAGATGGCTGCAATGGCCTGTTGGGCCAACCAGTAGATAGGAGCTCATCTAGTCTCCCATGTCAGGGGCAGGTTCCCAAGCACTTGGGCCACCTTCTGCTGCCTTTCCCAGGCCGTTAGCAAGGAGCTGGATCAGAAGTGGAGCAGCCGGGACTGGAATCAGCACCCAAATGGGATAGCGGCATTGCAGGAGGCGGCCTCACCTGCTGTGCCACAGCGCAGGTCCTGAGAATATAATGTTTTAAAAACATCATTTAATGAAAACCAAATAAAACAATACCTAGGTAGTACAAAACACACTGGGATTTGAGTTGGGAGAGGTCCTTTCTGCCATTAAGTCACCAAGTTGTGATTTTGAGCTCATAGCCAAAGCTTTCTGGGCATTTTAGTATATAAAATATTTTATATAATATTTTATTATATTTTCTATATAAAATGTAATAACTCAATAAAACATATCTTAAATTTTTATTTAAATTATAGAAGTTTCATATATTCCATATACACAGATTTAAGAACATGGTGATGCTTCCCCCCCTACCCTCCCTCCTGCCCATGCTCCAACCCTTCCTCCTCCTCCCTCTCCCATTCCCACTCTCAATTTTTACCAAGATCTATCTTCAGTTTACTTAATGATCATACAGTTAACCCTACATTAAATAAAAGATTTCAACAAATAGTATGAAGAAAAAAAGAAAAACACAGAAGAGACAAGGGCTATAAACAATCATTGAATCTTATGATGTATATTTCACTCCTATACATTACATTTCAGGTACTCTACTAATTACCTCAGATCAAGAAAAACATATGATATCTGTCTTTAGGGGACTGGCTTATTTCACTAAGTATAACAGTTTCCAGTTGTGTCCATTTTGTTGCAAAAGACAGGATTTCAGGGCCGGCGCTGTGGTGTAGCAGGTAAAGCTGCTGCCTGCTGTGCCAGCATCCCATATGGACGCTGGCTTGAGACCCGGCTGCTCCACTTCCAATCCAACTCTCTGTTATGGCCTGGGAAAGCAGTAGAAGATGACCCAAGTCCCTGGGCCTCTGCACCTGCATAGGAAGACCTGGAGGAAGCTCCTGGCTCCTGACTCCTGGCTTCGGATCGGCATAACTCCGGCCATTGCGGCCAACTGGGGAGTGAACCAGCAGATGGAAGACCTCTCTCTCTCTCTCTCTCTGCCTCTCCTTCTCTCTCTGTGTAACTCTGACTTTCAAATAAATAAATAAATCTTTTTTAAAAAAAGAACAGGATTTCATTTTTTTACAACTCCATAATGTATATATGCCATAGTTGCTTTATCCAGTCAACAGTTGATGGACATCTGGGTTGCCCTATATCTTAGCTAGTGTGAATTGTGCCGCAATGAACATGCGGGTACAGATGACTCTTTCATATGCTGATTTCTTTTGGTTTGGGTAAATTCCTGGGAGTGGGATGACTGGATCATATGGTAGGTCTATATTCAGATTAAATGGATGAACTAATAAAAAGCGGGATAAAACAATTTCCAGCTGAGTAAACCAATACAGAGAACAAGGTCTTGGGTCTGCAGTAGAAATAGCTACCTGTGGTGTAGCTGGTAAAAGCCGCCACCTGCAGTGCCAGCATTCCATATGAGTGTCGGTTCGAGTCCCGGCTGCTCCATTTCCTATCCAGCCCCCTGCTAATGTGCCCGGGAGAGCAGCGGAGGATGGCCCAAGTCCTTGGGTTCCTGTAACCATGTGGGAAACCCAGCAAAAGCTTCAGGATCCTGGCTTCAGGTCTGGTCATTTGGAGGAAAGAACCAGTGGATGGTAGCTCGCTCTCTCTCTCTCTCTCTCTCTATATATATATATATCCCTCTCTGTAACATGACTTTAAAATAAGTAAATCTAAAAGAAAAAAGAAAGGAAAAGATGTATTTCACCTTAACTTAAACCTGGAGTGAGATCACTAGTTCCAAAAAAACAGGAAGTCATTCATGGCACCTGTTTTGACTTCAGTCAATTTCTCTGCCCCTGCTCAGCTTGCTTTTCGCACTGAGGTTTTTATGCCCTTTGCTGTGTTGTTGAACATGTAGTATTCTGATGTCACAATAGGACATGACTTTCTGTTGAGTCAAGTCAATGCACATAGCTGACTTTTATAAACACCAACTACCATCCCGGGGGTGAGTGCTCCCTATCATTACTCGTGAATGATTTTCAGTTAGTGTGGCTTCCATTACTATCTAGGAGGCAATCCTTTAAGAATCCAATTTACCTCAACACTCCTGACCTCACTGTAGAATAAAGTAGGCCAATGATGTTGCCAGCTTAGCATGTTTTGCTCAGCCAGAATCCCTTAAACAGGGGTGAACCTCTGCATGGTTGATTAAGATGCTGCTTGGGATGCCCGCATTCCATAGTGGAATACCTGGGTTTGAATCCTACCTCGGCTCCTAGTTCCAGTTTCCTGCTAATATGCACTGAGGGAGGTACAGCTGATGGCTCAAGGTAGGGAAGTCCCTGCCACCCACTTGGAAGATCCAGAATGAGTTCCTGGCTCCCAGTTTTGGCCTGGCCTAGCTCCAGCTGTTGCAAGAATTTGGGCAATGAGCCAGAAAATGTAAGAAGCAGAGAGGCAGAGAGAGAGAGAGAGAGAGAGAGAAAGAGAGGTCTACCATCTGCTGGTTCACTCCCCAAATGGCCACAATGGCTGAAGCTGCCCTGATC